AAATACAAATACTTCAGTTTATGATCAGAATATTATTGGAGTAACAAATTAAAAGACTAACATGATCTAGCTACTTACGTTGATCAGATGCATGCCCATTGTAGTTGCTTTTTCACTAACCAACCTCAGCATCAAATTAATCACTAAATTTATCACTGGATCCATAATCCTCTGTCAAAAAAAAAAAAAAGCAACAGCTACCTAAGCCTAATATTCCACCAAGCTAGCTGATTCTAGTTAGATGGCGCCATAGGTAGCTATTGGCCTATTTTTCTTTTAATGAATTTGGTCAAGATTATAATAACGATTATAAGTTTTCCATTACAAGAGCCACACAGACAGTGACTCGAGCAACACAGATAAAAAAGAAAGACCACACAAATCAATGAAAATGCAAACCAAAAAACATACTCCACCTTGCACAAGCGAGCAAAAGGTTATATTAACTATTAGCTAGCTAGCTAGCTTGCTATTGGTAGATGGACCGCTTTATCATTTTCGGGGATCGCCTGTTTAATACCCGACCAGTACTACTTCAGTTCGTTGTAATGACCGGTCATCGATCACTGTCAGTTTCTGAAGATATGCATGCATTTGGAACTTTTATACTGCGAAAATCATGTTCTCTATCATTATGATTGAACAAATTGAAAATATAGCGACATCTAGCACTCAATCTTGCCCATTCTTAGTGGTCCCTGTACAATATCGTTGATACTCTTCAACCTAAAATATCCTCGAGGGGAAAAAACATTAAGGAACTCGTCATGAATGCTACTTTCGTCTTCCCGTTCTTGTTTTCTTTTTTATTCAAATCATGGGGCTAGGGTAGCATATTGCAAAAGATATCTTTGATAAGATTTGTAAAAGAAACCAGCTGCATTATTTATATTCTACTTTTGATATATAATGATGCATGTCTGCTTTTCAAATTCTTTGATATGGAGGGGATGTTGAACAATGCATTTAACCTTGGCCAACTTGTCAAATATTGAATTGGACATCAAAAAAAAAAAAAAAAAAGTCTACTTTGGACGAACATAGAGTGCCTTCTCGATGGGGTTTTTAAATGATCAATATTATAGCTACTTCACATCTAACCACCTTCTTCCATCAAATTGTGGTAATTAACTTGTGAGCTGTCATCTGATCATGAATGCAACAAGAAAAATGCTAAAAACACATTTAACTGTAATTAGACAAAGATAGTCTCAAATTAATCTATATGCCTAGCCTCCAAAAAGGAATCATTAAGTTTCAAATTCTGGGTTTTTTTTAACTTATTAATATAGATATGGGTCCGATCATTAATGAATTGAACGATTAATAAAATTTATGATTATCAATAAGTTATTGGTTGGATGATAAATTAATTAATTCACATTCAAATTTTTTGTTAACGTACGTGATTTAAATTTTAAAATTATATTAGTTAAAAGGGTTAAATCTTGTCATTTCAACTATATATATAATTAATCTTATCTTCAATATTAGATGAAGATATTTGAGTAAAAAAAAAAAATTCTACAAAATGTAGCATATATATTGTAACTATCTTCTACGTACATGCAAACCAAGGAAGGATAGGTCCATTAATATCTCGAAAAAGAAAGCTGTGCGTAAGAGAATTTTGTCCTTTTCAATTCCTGCTACTCGTTCTTTCTATTGCAGCTTGCTGTCTCTCTGGTTACGTGCTCCAAGACGAGGATTGGAGCCTATTAGTATATTACGTACGTTGTTTAATTCAAATGTGTTAGCTACCTCTCAGCCGCAAATATGCTTCACGACAGTTTTAGTAGTTGATAAATGGACAAGAACCGGCCACATTCAGATCATCATTTTTGTTTATTTCGGCAAAATAATAGAGACTTGTTGACTAAGATTTAAAAAAAGAAAAAAGAAGAAGCTTATTGTTACGGGTCGGGATTTATTCCTTAATATAGGAATAAATCTCATGCAATGATAAATAATTCAATCGGAACAGTCAGCAGTTAGCCATCCGAAATTTAAATTTCACTATAATTATTGCCTGAAGTATATTAATATTTGTTGAAAATGAATATCCAAATCGCATTCACCTGCGTCAACCAACTAAACAAGCCTCCTTGTTAAGGATCTTTATTTGATCATCAACGACCAAGCAATACATTGTAACATTAATATATAATAGTCTTGCCATTAGGGATGACCGTTATTAATTCGTAATATATAGTTCGGTGGATGTTATAATTATGTTGGTAAAGTCGCTAATTAATTAGATGTATATGGGAAGCAAAATGATTTACAAATAGATAAGCTATACCAAAATCTCATATATATAATAATTAATGCGGCCATCTTTATTGATTTCTAATAACTAGTGATTCGGTCCAAATTTAATCATTTTTTATAAATAAGTCTTGAAATCCAAACTTTGGATTATATATATTTTGCACATTTATGAAAACAAGATTTCAGTTTATGCTTATCACATAATAACCTTAGAAAGAATTAAATTCAGGAGAATAATTGTGATTTGTAGATCTCAATTAAACAAAATAAATGATTAGTCAGTTTTTACTTTAAAATGCCATATTAGCTTGTATGGAATTTTTATATAATTTACTTTGTTTGGCCTGTCATCTCGTTAGTGTATGCCCATATAGGTTAAACATGTACTAATTGGCACACCCGACCCATACAGATTTCGTGTCAAAAGAAATGACTGAGCATTCACAAACAATTAGTACACATTTCCAATTTGATGGTAAATGATTAAATACTAAAATCTAGCCTAGTTACATGCCAATATATATATATATATTGTTCAACAAATAAACAAACAACAATTGCTCAATAAAACGGCATGTATATTGAAGCTTAAGTAACTATAATCAATTAGGAGAATATATATATATTACATACAATCAGCATGCCAACTAAATAGAAAAGGAAAGTAACTAATTAATAGCTCACTTTCACAATGAACATAACTATTGTATCTAGAACAAAAAGGGCGAGAGAGAGCGACAACCAACTAGCTAGATGGTTTAGTGATAAGGATATGTATTTTTTTTTCCTTTTTGGTTTCAGGATGAATTTGGTGGCCTGAATCTATCAGAAGAGAACAATGGCCGGCCCATCTATATTTCAAACAACGTCAATCGGAATCCATGCGATGTTCAAATATATTCAGGTGCATGAACAATCACCCTAGCTAATACCTCCTAATACTATTTTTTTTAAAGCATTTTGACTTATGTGCAGTCATGAAAAACAAGATATAGTATTATAGGAATAAAGTTAAAATCATAAACGACACGTCAGTAACCAGTAGGTACCATGAATGGGATAAATTGTTGTTTTCTGACGAGACGTTCATTGGTACATGTCATCGATATCGTAAATGCAGCTTATGAGGTAGGCTCTGACATTTTCCATTTTTATGGCTTACCTGCCAGCATTTTTTTTTCTTGCGTCAATAAGCGTCCAAGAATAATTAAACCTAATTCCTTTAAAAAAAATGTCAAATATAAGATTGAAAATAAGTTACCCTCACTAAAAAGCTAAATTCTTTTGCATGAAACTCAAATTTTGCATTAAATGCTGGCGCCATAGGTTAAAAATAAGAAAAATATATTAATAGAACTAGAAACTTTGTAGAAAAATATAGTGATGATGTTATTTTTTTCGTGGTTGAAAATAATTAATGACGGTTTTATTTGGTCGTAATATCTGAAAAATGATTTTTTTTTATTTGGTTGAAGAACACTCGGATAATATAGTAAGCCAATAAAATTAATATCTGAATAAAAAAAAATTACCCCTCAATCATTGTTAAGTGTTAGTTTTGATAAACTTTTTGGTGAAAAGGTAGATTCAACCGACATGGGTGCCCTTAGCATTTATCTTGGAACAGATTTTGTGAAATAGGTAATGGGAGTAATTAGCTAAATTTTGGAATGAGATAATTAATCTTCTCAATCTTATATATCAACGTACCCCGCTTCGTTGTACTCTCTTTCCCGCCTCCAACTCTGTTTACACACAATGTCAAAAAAAAAAAAAAAAAAAACGAATTGGGCTGTCAAAAGGAACTACCTACATTTCTGATTTATTTGACACGTTATATGTTTTGGCATTTCGCGCGTCGCTGTACGTATGAATCGCAGAGTCAATTTCAAATCTAAAATTGGAAATTTAACTCCTAGCATGAGGCTAATTCCATTCAAATCATTGGAACTTATTGAGTTTGAAACGAAACAAAGTCACAACCATTTAGTTTTATACTATTCAATTGACGGTTTTTGTATTCACATATATTCTTTTTCACTTCAAAATTTTTTTTCTTATACATAAATTAAAAAAAATTAATTATTATATCAAGTGATCTTTTATTTAAAAAAATAAAAAATATATATTTTTAAAAATTAGATTGAAACATTTTTTTACAAATATACTTTAATTAAAGATATTTTAAAAAGTAGTGTCAAATTTATTTATTTTTTTGAAAAATGAATTAATCCGGTATCGATACCTACAATAATATATATATATCGGAAGTCTTTAGGAGAAAAAAAGTATTGATTTTCCTTAAAAATGAAGTGCATGAATTTAGAATCTGGGGAAAGATCAACTTATCTGACCGAAATTTTTCTTTTCAATGATTGAGTTACGCATGCGCTGATCAATGATAGGTACATAATTTGGAAGCTCTTCTGATCTTTTTTCGTACAATATTGCATGCAGTGTTGACCGAAATTTTTCTTTTCAATGATTGAGTTACTTATGCGCTGATCAATGATAGGTACATAATTTGGAAGCTCTTCTGATCTTTTTTCGTACAATATTGCATGCAGTGTGTGAATGAATCAACTCGGTAATATATATATATATAACATCTCAAATTCACGCTTGCTAATTTCTTAATTAATTTAACTTGATCCAAGCACAAAAAACCATGCATTAAAGGTGCTAGCTTGTGATTAATAGAAAGAGGTGTTAATTTCTGCATGCCCAAATTACTCGTGTCTAATTCCTCTGGAGCCCTTCCATGGTTGTACTTGAACTGTCATCATGTCAAGGTTCACTGCAACTCTCACACTAGTTGCCTTGGGTCCTAGTACTCGGACACCGTCTTTCAGGTCTCCGATCAAGGAGTAGCATATTTTAATGGTTAAGTACCAATAAGAACCTTCGCACATAGTTGTTCTTGAACTGTCATACACGTGGCAGATGTTAAGGTACCTTGCAGCAATAACTTCCTTTGGGTCCTAGTACTTAGACACAATCAAGCAATATTTGATGAACTGGGTAACAATGGACCAATCAAGTCAAATAATTAACAAAGCCACACAACTAGGTACTTCAAAACCAAATGTGATACAATTGAATTTTACATTTAGAATACTGTTTGTTGGATAAACTATAAGCTTTTGTAATTTAATACTGCCACACGCCGACAAATCAGAAAATGACGGTTCAAGCAGATTCTTTTATAAACCGACCTTCAAATCATGTAATCTCAGACATAAGCAACACAATTAAATTAAGAAAAATATTATTAAGATGCCATAAAAATATCCCTAGTAGCCGTAATTAAAATTGATTGCTAGCAAGACAGTTCAGGATTAGCTAAACAGTTGAGATTCTAAGCCGACCTTTCTCGGGATAAGAAGAATGACAGCCAACATCCAGAGCGCAAATACTAAACACTAATGTGATGATTTGTCATTCAATCTTTTATGAAATCTTGATTTACAGTACACTACTGAGCAGCAGCATTAAAGGATTTGGGCTATCTATTTAGATTTGTTATAAAGGCAACCAGAAAAAAAAAAAAAAAAAAGCCTAGCTGTATCTCATTGTAATATTAATACATTTGCGTAGGTGCGCACACACATATTTACGCACATATATGTAATATTTTTAATTTAATTATTATATTAATTGAAATTAAATTTATTATTTTTAAGTTAAATAATTAATAATATAGATATTATTATCATTATTTGCGGTTGCTCAATGTTCAAATAACAAATTTTCATTAATCTTGGAAATAGCATGTGTAAGATATATATATATATATATATGACTCATTAAAAAAATGAATATATAAAGGATAAAGCTATTAAAAAAATTACTATATAGAAAAAAATAATAACCTAATGTGATTAACCAAATCATAAGTCTTTAAGAATTATTTTATGTTTTATATATATAATAATTTAATTATTTTCTTTGAATGGATTGAGTCAATAATTCTTGTCCACATCAAAATTAAATACAAGTTCCAAAAGTAACCAAAATCAAGAGGTGCTGGGAACTAGAATGCATTTATATATGTCTATATAGTTAATAATTGAGCGAAAGGAGCTAATTAACAGTACTCATCTTTTCGTGTCTCTTAACATTGAAACACAACAATTTTTAACGTAAGGCAAGTCAAGAAGTATTGGGAACCAGACAATGGTACAGGCACGCTTCTGTCAGCAGTAAAAAAACTCATAAAGGTTTTCAGCCAAGTCTTGCATGTCTGCCACGTTGGATTACAAACTTGCATGCATGCCACGTAGGAAAAAAATTATTTTCTCCATTTTTGTCTTGACATGTAACGTATAACTCGCTTTAAAGAGTTTGCATAGCAGACACGAAATCTGTGACATATTGAGAGTTGCCAATTTTGATGCTTGTGGCTTATGAGACCTGCATATCTCGTATATAAGGGCATTGTGTGATTCAAGGTAGACCCGAGTTGATACTGCTGAGATTTAAAGGAAAATCTCATAGGATTCTGAATCATAACAACATGATATAAACATCAGATTTGCTCAAAAAGCATCGGGATCCAATTTCAACTTTATAAAAATAAGATCAATTCGAAGCATTACATTTCTTGTCCAAAAATGAATAAATTCAAATGATTTAATTTAATTATTAACAATTATAGCACAACCCAAATAATTGCAAAAAAATCTAACACGATTCTACAAACAAAAATAGTATGCGCACCCAAGATACCCTCCTACACACGGATATACTCAAAATATTTAAAAAATGATCAAGCAATCTGCAAATACTCACCGTAGAATTAAAATTAAAAAGAGATTAATTGTCTTTTCGTCATGTGTCCGAATATGGATTCCGATAATGCTCGATATAAGTATACCATGGCATTTGCATTATGCAGCTAATATACCTTTCTCGAGGCTAGAATTGAAAATTTTTATGCTAACTAGTAGGAGAAATTTTATAATGCCTAAAGAGTTATTAGTGTGTGTATATATATATATATTTGATGGATCTATTTTTTAAGAGAAAGGTAGACATATAAAAATAAATCATATTCGAATTCATAAAAATGATAAAAAAAATTTTACCTTAACTCAAATATCTTTTTTTTTTTAATTTTCTCTCCATTATTTCTTTCTTTCTTTTTTTTATTTTTTTATCTAACTCTTTGTATAAAATAATTTACACCATTTACTTTTAGAGTATTATAAAATTTCTCGGTAATCATGTTATAATTACTACTACTAATTAATAGTAATAAAAAATTAATATAATTACTTACTGTATATATAGAGGTTCATTTGCTAATAGTGATCAAATCATGACATATCAACCATTTATAGAAAGCAAATAAAGTTTTACAAGTAAAATTATCATAAATGATTTGCATATTTTTTTTAATTTAGTAAATTTTTTTTTATTAGGTCTTAAACTATATGTACAATGAGATACTTCTTCTATTATTATTATTATTATTACTACAGTATCATAATTAATAAATTATAACAATTAATATATAAATAACGAGAAATTTTATAATACACAATGAGTAATTAATGGTATGTACGGTAGTTACTTTTTGAGTCCATTTTAAAGAGAGAGATAGACACATAAAAAGAGAAAAAAAAACAGGTGAGAGAATGAAAAAATTTGAGCGGACATAGAAATCTTCTTATCACTTTTGGTGGGTTTGGATGTAATTTCTCTCTTTTTTATGTGTCTATCTCTCTCCTCAAAGTGGATTCAAAGAGTAACTATCGTATATGCTACTAGTTACTCTTTATGTATTATAAAATTTTCCTATAAATAACTATTAGAGTATAGTTACTTTCGTTAAAAAATGATTAATCTTGAAAAAATGTTTGACTAATAACATATTAGGAGCAATTTTATAATACTTAAAAGAATAACTAATGACATGTACAGGTAATTACTTTATAAATGTACTTTGTAAAAAAAAATAGGCGCTACTTGCTAATTAAAAAAAAAAAAACCCCAGCCACAATAAATAAATAGCTTAAAATGTAAAAACACTTGGGGCACCCAAATTAATATTGATCACTTTACAATATCAAGAATCCATCGGTAAGGTGCATGAACCCAACCCCCAAAATTTTCCCTATAAATATATCGTCCACTTCCTTCTCCAGCCCTCACTCCTCACCCGAATCAAACACACAGCGAGGAGATCATCCAAACAGCAACGTAAATTTGCTCTCCTTCAAAAACCAAAAACTTCACAAAAATGCCTTCAGCTACTCCTCTAACAATTGTCTCAAAATGCACCGTCTTCCCAGACCAAAAATCCACTCTACAAGATCTCAAGCTCTCAGTCTCTGACCTCCCTATGCTTTCTTGCCACTACATCCAAAAAGGTGGCCTTTTCACTCGCCCTCCAACACTCTCCATAGATTCCTTAATCTCCCACCTCAAAAAATCTCTTTCTCAAACTCTCTCTCACTTCGCTCCTCTCGCTGGTCGCTTCAACACTGACTCCAATGGCTACGTTCGCATTACCTGCAATGATGCAGGCGTAGATTTCATCCATGCCACCGCAACCAATTATTCCATCCAAGATATCCTCTATCCACTTCATGTACCTGATTGCATCAGGGGCTTCTTTGCTTTTGAGAGCACTGTTAGTTACCAAGGCCATTATAAACCAATCTTGGCCGTTCAGGTCACAGAATTAGCTGATGGGATTTTTATTGGTTGTTCAATGAATCATTCTGTTACTGATGGTACTTCATTTTGGAACTTTTTTAATACCTTCGCTGAAGTTTCGAGAGGAATCAAGAAAATATCAAGACAGCCCGATTTTTCAAGAAACTCAATCTTGATTTCTGAAGCTGTACTTAAAGTTCCTCAAGGTGGCCCTCAAGCCACTTTTGATGAAAACGAGCCATTAAGTGAAAGAATTTTTAGTTTTAGCAGAGAAGCCATTTTGAAGCTGAAATCCAGAGTCAACAACAAGAAATGGTGTCAAAATTCAGACACTAATATTGATATTGCTGAATTAATGGGAAAACAAAGCAATGATACACTGTTTCAGATTCACGAAAACGGCAAGATGACCGCAATTCTTGAAAGCTGGTTCAAGAACGCGGTTTCGAAACCGCAAGAAACGGAGTCGAACCTTTCAATGGTGGAGATTTCGTCGTTTCAATCGCTGTGTGCGCTTCTTTGGCGTGCGGTGACACGTGCAAGGAAGTTGAACCCGTCCAAATCGACCACGTTTAGAATGGCGGTTAATTGCCGTCACCGTTTGAGCCCCAAACTAGATCCGTTATATTTTGGGAACGCAATTCAAAGTGTACCCACATACGCATCAGCTGGGGACGTAGTGTCTAGGGATCTACGCTGGTGTGCGGAGCAGCTGAATAAAAATGTTGCTGCCCACAACGACGAAATGATACGTCGTTTTGTTAAGAATTGGGAAAGCAATCCAAGGTGTTTCCCGCTAGGAAACGTGGACGGTGCATCGATGACAATGGGTAGCTCACCAAGATTCCCCATGTACGATAACGATTTTGGGTGGGGTCGACCTTTGGCAGTTAGGAGTGGCAAGGCCAACAAATTTGATGGTAAGATCTCTGCCTTTCCTGGGAGGGAAGGGAACGGTACCGTGGATCTTGAGGTTGTGTTGGCTCCTGAAACAATGGCTGGGATTGAGTCTGATCACGAGTTCATGCAATTTGTATCTAGATAGTTAAGTTTCAACGGTGGTGATTATCTCATTGTGTTGCATGGTTCTTGATCGGACATGGAATTTGAGGGGATCGTGGGATGGGGATTAGGGAGGATGTCTAGCTCTTGTAACTTTTGTGACATAGTTTTTTGTTGTTTAATTCTATGCTATGTTTAGTTTTGTTGAACTTTTGAGAAATGATAACTTTAGTATTTATGCTGTTAGAAAGACAAGGGTGGTTTACGCTTTTGAATTAAATTTCCATAAATTGGACAAAAACAAACAACCGCTGTCATATAGTGGAGAGATTTTTATGGCATTTAAATAGTAAATTATTATTATTATTTTATTCGAGTGAGACAAATATAAAAAAAAAAATTAGTTGAGAATATTCTTATTATTTTTATTGAATTCAAATATAATTTTTTTCTCTTCTTTTTCATTTTAAACTTTAGTATTTAGTTTTGTTGTACCCCTTGCATTGAACCCAAACAGTAAATTTAATTATTGGTGTTCAAGGAATATAAAAAAGAACAGCTTAATATTTATATCATCACAAAATGGAAAGGCATGCGAATCTAGTTTGGGATATCAATACATTTAATTTTTTTTTATATATATAAATAGAAATGTGCGTAGGTTATTTCGTATTTTATGGAAAAGAATATTATCTTCACATCATACTATTTTTTACCTACAAATGACTACTATATATATATATATATATATATATAGACACTTGTTAGCATAGTTATTTAATGGTAAATGAGTTTTTTTTTTTTATGTTATTGTTATTAGGTTTGAATTAAGATATAAGTTTAGGAGACACTTTTTTTTTAATAAATGATCTGATTCCAATCTTTCTAAAGAGAAATTTAATTCTTACTTACCAAAGTTGGTAACGATTGCCAAGATATTGTGTTTTCTGGGTCTTGTTGAAGAACGTTTTCTGTCTAAACCGGTGAAAAGGTGGATAAGATCAGTAAATCGCGTGTATGATGTGCGATTGCCATATGTACCAGCAGTTCAACTCATTGGTCAGAAAATAAAAGTTTGTTATCTTCTAAGTCATCTACAGGTGACAAACTTGGGCGGAGATGAAATCAGCGCATCACATGTAAAATTGCCATACGTATCAAATTGAGTGAGAAAATCCAAGATGGATTGTCTTTTAGCAATGCAGAGATGATCCAGATTTGGCATAAAATTTTGTCGATGACTATTGAGTAGTACCGAATCCAAGCCTGTTTAGACTTCAGAGAGGTGATCCATATTTCGGAATTTAAGGGGACAAAAAGGCGCTAGTTTGTGAAAATCAATTGGAGGGATGGATTTAGTCTGTGTTTGGTATTATAATCCAATTTGCTAAAAACATATTTGAAGAAAAAAAAATTAAGGGGCTATTTGGTACCGTTTTGGTTTTTAGTTTTTTTTTTTTCAAGTATTTGAAATCAAAATATAAACACTTGTTTGTTTTCAAATTAATTTTTTATAATATCACCATATATTTTGATAATCACTTTGGATTTGAAAATCAAAAAATCGATGTAAATCATACCAAGAATGTTGGTCAAAATCTAGTTCAAAAACTCGAGATTCGAGCTGGGACCAAGTTCGGCCTAAAATTCCAGCTGGACCTAGTTCGAGGCATATGGGATTCTATTGAGTCCCAAAGCGACCAAAAGTCAGTCTAGGACCTAGTTCAGGGCACCTAGGGTCGGTCGATGACCAAATTTGAGGTGTCTGAGGTTTGAGTCAAAAAGTGTGTCGAGGTCTTAAATTCTCATGGTTCGATATGTTCAAAATTTGAGTTAAGATAGGTCTAGAGCGCCTAAAAGACAATCTAGGATAAGGTTTGGGGCATCTCGAGGATTGATTTGAGTCGGGGTCTAGGTCGCCCAAGAGATGATTGGGTCTGGGTCTTCAAGGTTGGTTTGAGACCAGGTCTAGGGTGCTCGAAAGTTTGGGCGGGATTGGATCCAAGGCCCTCAAGGGTCAAGGTCTGAGATGCTTCAATGCGGGTCTTGAGCTCCCTAGGGGTTGGTCTAAAAGTGGATCCACGGTGCCTAGCGTGGATTTTAAGACTGCGAAGGAGAGTTTATAGTGTGGGTCAGTATCAATTGAAGGGCGCCTCACTTGCAAATCGAGACCGATACTAGAGTATTTGTGTTTAAATTGAGATATGATCGAGGACGTCAAGTTGTCAGGATATAACCAATTTTAGGTTGGGATCAAATATGCTTCGCTAAGAGTGAAGGCTATTATTGGATTTGAGTTCGAGAATCAGATTCGGATAGGATCAAATCTCTATAACTCGAATATCCGATTCAAACAAATTGCATTAAAAAAAATCACCAACAAAACAAATAAAAACAAACTGAAATAAAAATGATACTAAAATTCTCCTAAATTATGGTTTTTGTGCAATCTTTTTTAAGATCATGATTTAAAACCATAGTTTTGAAAAAGCTAAAATTTATTGTTCTTCAAGACCATGACCTTTCAAACTTTCAGTCCAAAAAAGAGCCTTAACATTAACGTTTATATGATACGGGTTTTTATTTATTTATTAGAGTATATGATATGGATACAGTTTATTGCTTTGCCAATTTTTTTTTCCGAAAAGACTAAAGTTTACATAATCAAATAGAAGAGGAATAACATTTCTTAAAAAACAAAATTCGTAGAAAATTTCCTAAGATGCTCAAAGCCAAGTCAAACTGGACCGGATTTTTTACTGTCCATTAATAGGCCTCTTGGATCCAGGCCCATTGATTTAGGTTAGTGTGCAATTCCCGCACACCTTGCCTTTTAAATTTCCTTCCAGATCTAATGAATCGAACTCTAACCCTAACTCTAGTCTATAAGTCTATTACCTCAATGAATCCTTGAAGAATTTTCGTCCTGTTGTTCAATTAAGTTGTGCGAAGTTAAATTCACGGAACTTCGAAGGTAGCAGCCGTAGTCGGAAAGGAAATTGGATTGTGAGGTCCTGGCCTTTGCCTGTAGTTCCGTTTAAAGGTGAATTTTCTTCGATACCTCGAAAGCTATATCATTTGCAATTCTAGAAAACACTTTCCTTGGTACTTTTTTTCTGTGATTTCCTGAGTTTATCTTTGGGTTGATGTTAATGGGTTTTGTGTTTACTGTTCAGGTTTTGCTTAATTCCATTGTAAAGTATATATATATTGAAGGCTTTGTTGTTGAAAAGTTTGAAAGAGCTCGTTAAAGTTTGAAAAGAGATTTCGTCTTGGTTTTTGGCATGTGGGGTTTTGCTTGCAGCGAATGCTTAGTGATGACTTGTTGGTGATGTAGTCATTGTTGAAGGAATGAAGAGAGGGCGCTTTGTGAAGAACTCAATAGCTTTTGTAGGCTTGGTGATTTCTATTTGTTGCCTTTTGGTGATTACGGTGTCAGTTCTCCGGCTTCCAGAAGTATCACTAAGAAATAACGTAACAGGCTCTTACAGAACCATCCGGAATAGGAAGGTTTCCAGGGATGAAGCAATTGGGAAATTTGGTGAGATGATGATTGAAATGTTGCCAGCAGATCTTGCTTTTACAGTCTTTGTTCCTTCGGAGAAAGCATTTGAGCGTGATCTAAGGCTGCGGGTGAATGATAGTTTGGTAGAAGAGAAGAGGAATGATACATATGCAGTAGTTTCCCGCATATTGGGCTTCTCAGCTGTTCCTCGAACTCTTTCTTCAGCTACAATGCCCTCTGGTAAAGAGGTCTTCTATGATTCCTTATCTGGGTTTACATTGTACATTTTAAAAGATGTAGATGGAATGCTGGTGGTTAATAGAATTCGATCGGAAAAGGTAGATCTCAGGAGAAGGGAGATTGTTGTACATATTATGGATGGGGTTATAATGGATGCGGAGTTTGAACAGGCAGTTCAGCCGGATTACACTGAATAAGATTGATCAGAACCAAGACATTGAATCTTTCGAAAGACATCTGTGCCGTTGCCAGGTTTCACTTGTAAGGTGTAAGTTGAACAAGATGTATATTTGTTTTGGGGTGGGAATGTAGTTTTAACTAATTAAAACCAATGTCAGAAATCTGACTCTTTCATGCTTTTCAGATCCAACATTTAAGTAATATCTTCAATCGCTATGTGAAGGGAGCAAGAACCCCTGCCATGATCAATCTGGTGCTATGTCCCCAACGTTTTTAACCAGCAGAACTCCAAGGCTTCAAGGGCCAGTAGTGCTAGTAGCATACTAGAATGAGCGCAAACCATATATTCCTACACGTCTAGATGGCTATCATTGGAACCCCGTGTGCATTTCCAGATTGTTTTCCTCACGCGGGAACTATTCAACACTTGATGGTAAACCTCCCTAGTCCTCCAAAATTGAAAAAAATAATTACTCAAGAACCACTTATTAAACATCATATGTTATCAATTTTCAAGTTGGCATTTGGATGGCATAATGCCAACTCCTTGCAATGCAAATCAAAGTACCAGATCATCTAGGAACATGGCTAAAGAATCTAATGCCAAAGAACGAGCATATGTTTATCACAAAGTTATAATCTTGCAAATCGCTGTTGCGGACATCAAAATGAATTTATATTGTATTTCAATCACAAGAAACACAACTTTGAGCAATGTTTCCAGTAGAACCCCTATCAACTCCCACTTCTCATGCACCAGAAAACACAAAATTATCCAAGGCTGAAAGAACTGATAGAAATTCAGTAACTGCAATTAATCTTTTAGAGAAGAGGCAACTACAGAAAATCCAGGCTGATGAAATTCCCTTATCTAGCTTCCAGCAGCAGGAGGTACAGCAACAGGCTTCGAGTCTTCTGCCTTCTCATGTTCTTTGTTGAGCATCTGAAATTAGACCAACACAGAGAGTGAGAAGAATACTACGGATGGCTAATTGAAAGCATGCAACATAAGCTTTGATCCACATGGAACACATCAACAAGCTCATTAAAACAGGCTAATGGAAATTGCGAAATATGTACTTACATGGCAGAACCAATTAAAAGGAGTGCACCAAGAATGGCTGATTGTTAAAGGCTCTAAAAAACATTTCCAAAATCAAGAACAGATCCTTTGAGACAGTGAAGGGATTTATGCCCCACATGTTAACGTCAAAAGTTTCACAGGTTAAAAATTAGATTTTAGTTGGAGTGGAAAAGGTGAGATATGCATGATGATCAGTAACTAAGTAAGACTGTCCAAGTCACGGAGAATAAATTTAAGATGTCTTCATTGATCAATTGTAAAGCTCCTAGGAATACTTCTGGATCTACTAGCACTGATGTGAGCACATCCTTGACAAGCATCATTTCCACAAAAATATCAGTGTTATAAATTCAGACAAGGACATCATAAATTACAAGTCCAGACAGATATTTTGCTCTCTGTCAATTGGACCTAGACTTAGATGTTTTACAAGCTCAATGGCACTAAAATGAGCAACTTGTGTGAAGATTTATAAAGGGAAAATAAAAATTCATCTCACCTTGTTGTTGATCAAGTTGTGGAGAGCGATTACACTTCGGATGAGGGACGAAAGGTAGATAACCAACATCATATCATTTGTTTTCACTGCAAATATTAGAAATATGATAAAGCCACGAATGGAAAATGATAAACAAGACAAAAATTTGCATTTTGTATTCCTTTACCTGCAAAAGCCTTGACCAAATCTGCCACGTTAAGGTTCGGAAGTAGGTTGAACACATCCTAGACAATGTAAAATGGGAATTAATATAAGTTTCCGTAACAGGAAGATTGCCAAACTGAAACATCAAAGAACAGGGAGAGGGGAAGGGAATGTGTGATAGACACAAATTAACAGTCTAGAGCATGCGAGGGATTTGATTTGAACATATGGGAGGACCAGGGCATTGAAAGTTTGATGGACAAACAATTTTATCAAAAACCTAGACTATACACCATGTCCCTAGTTTTATTTTACTTAGTATAGCATTGAGCATGACGGAGGTCCTTGCAAGATCATACAGAGAAAAAATCACTCCATTCACAGCACCATTAGCAAATCAGCAATGGTTTGAAATTTAAATTTAAGGTAAATAGGAAAATCAATTTAGACCTCCCACAGTAGCATCACAGAATCAGGCAGTTAAAAAGCAGAAGAGCAACATAGAATTAGCTGGTTAATGCCAAAGAATTCCTAAAAAGTCCACATTACTCAGCTTCTAAGAGGCACAGAATTTTCTATATGAGCAACATTTTCCTTTAGATGATTCCATTTTAAACGGTTCAAGGAGATAGAAATGGTTGTCCAGGTTCCACTAAAACCGAAGTGGATAACTTAGGCAACCGGAACAGAATTAACTTAAGTACAGGTAACTAGGAAAAGAATTGCTGTATGATCAGAAACGTCTCTTCCATGATTTATATTGGCCAAAGAAGAGCTCCTATCCAGAACAAACTATGTCAAACCTATTGAAATTTACAAGGGTTGGTTATTCATGTCAACTATATTTGAAATTAAGTTCATTTTTTTCACAAAGATAGAAACAATGAATTCGTTTACAGAATTCAATTGATATCTTCATGCAGATATGACTCAATTAACAGAAACACATATGCAAAAGGGGCGAGAAAGGAAAATCTGGGAGGTGCCCACAGAACCTGTAGATGGTACAGAATCTCATGGTTTAATGGGAGCTTTCCTTCAATGACAAGGTCAAGATAACCACGTATCTCTTTTAGCCGAGCATCCAACCCTTTCAGAGCTGTGAGTTTCCCAGTAACCTGCAAGGACAACAATAAAAAACGAGTCTCTTCTACAGTAAACAAAGATTAAAAAAGGGCAAATCAAGCATTGTCCCGGAAAAAGACCTCTGTTGCAAGAGTACTAATTGTTGTGTCCTTCACATCCCTCAATAAGTGTTCTACGCCTGTTAAAATGGACACAGAAGAATTCAAAGCTCAAAACCAGATACAGATGATCATGTTATTCTGCCAGAAGTGGCCCACTTTTATGCATACAATAGAAGGCAAGAATCAACTTCATTCTTTTCACATAAAGTTGGATTATGTTCATTTTGGAAGAAAAAAAAGTAAAATCATAAAAGGAGCAGCTCAATCCCAGTTGAATATCAACTAAGGAAAAGCCTCTAAAAGCACCCAAAGGATGAATCGACTTTATTTTTAAACTGGCTTTCAGTGGCATACCAATTTCCTCGACTTCATGGGCAGCAATTTCTGATGGTACATGCACAAACACTTTCTGGCTTTTCTGGGTAGCATTCTGTAACAAACATAACCATTATAAGTTCCTACCATATGAGAATGCCGGCAATACAATATAAACAACTCAATCAGAACAACTAATCAATGCATCATAAGGGTATAATTTTAGTTATGCACTTACCTCTTTTACCTCTTCAACAGCATAGTATGCTTTTGTGGGTATTCCCAACTCTTCCGGTTGGACATCAATTATGACCAAGACAGGATTTGGAACATAACTGCAATGCCATATTGAACTCAATGAATAGAGGAGAAAGGGGGAAAATTTTCAAATTGCAAGGAGGCAGGTACGACAAGTCAGACCAGTCAATTTCCACAAGGGATCAATGCATAGAGTTTCAAAGTTAGACACAACTACTTAATCATGATCAATTCTCAGCACACGGGTTGAAAAGATAAATAACCTTCACATTCATGGTCAGTGTTCTTACTCGTTAAATAATCCGTGAATCTCCAGGTCATTTTCCCTCAGTTTTGGCCCTGTGCTGTACCACCCCACAACATGCTCCTTGGCTGAAAAAGGTAATTTGTCAATTTCATAACACCAAAAGCACCAGAAATGCAAACTAAGGATGTTTCCAGGTATTACCATTTATTCTTTTGAACATGGAAAACATTGATTCATGATAATTGTGGTCAAGAAACCAGATGCTTGGATCTTTGTCATCTTCTTCAAATGGCACTGAAAATTACAACTCAAATATCACATGACTAAAACTATAACATCCTCTAAGACAAGGGAGACAGAATAGCTACAAAACGAAAAATGAAACTATAGCTATAGCCTAACAATAACTTCTCACAGGATACTCAGGTAAGGAAAAAATTACACCATTCCCGGTTCCAAAATGCTATGGTTACCCTACACACTGACTAAACACTGTGCTGAATGTCTACATTCTTAGCTAGTAAAAACCTATTCGTTGTAACTAACTGCCCTTAACATAAAAATATAAAAATAAATCAAAATCCTGAAAAACCCATTTCAACTTTTCATAATTTGGCACCAAACAAAGCTCCTTCTAACTCTAAATTCCTTTACTCCCATATAAGTAAAATTCAAAATAATGCAACACTAGAAGAAAATAAAAAATGAAAACTAAAACTTAAGACCGAAATTAAAATAAAACTAAAGAGGTCAAAAGAAAACAGATCAAAAGGATAAGGGAAAAATTAAAGAGGAATTAAACCTGCATAGCTGTTAGTGACATCAACGGTGCCCTTAAAACTGGAGCCAAGCAAGACCCCAACGACACGTTTGCGAGTGTCCTTAGCTACTCTGTTGTAGTTATCGACGATGCTGAGTAGAACTAGAGGGTGCACTATCACTTTCTCGATCGGTCTCGCCGAGATTTGTTGCGTTTTTATCACATCCATTCTTAGCTCAAAATTGGACGACTCTACTCAGCCCCTGCTCTTCTATTCCCAGATTTCAATTTCTAAGTTCTTGCTTGTTCGCTAGGAAAGCTTTTGTTTTAATTTTCATTTATCTATGTAAAGTTGATTTTGTTTTGAGTAAATTATAAATTAGTCCATCTCCTTTAAGAAATGAATTAATTAGTTTTCTTTACTTTAAAAATTAATTATTTTAAAAATTAATTATTTAATCTTTTATATTTTAATTTTTTTAATAATTTAAACATTTCTTCAGTTTTTTGTTGGAATAGCGATGAAATATTTTTATTACATTATTTTTTTTATTTTTAAATTATTCTTTTTTTGATATTTTTTTAATTTATTATTATTATTTTTTCATCAACTATCTTCATCATGGTAATAAAATTCAAACTCAATATCAAGCTTTTTCTTTAACAAAAAAATTCACACTTCACTTTCTCTTTCAACAAACACAATCTATCTCATCAACTTTTTCAAACCCAAACAACAAAAACAATAAAAAAAAACCTATAGATTTTTTTGATCTTAACGATGTAAAAGTTAAAACCGTTCAAGAAGAAAAATAAGAAATTTCGACCTTTGGATTGGAAAAGAAAGAGAAACAGGAGTTAAATGAAGAAGAAGAAAAAACTTCAATGGAATTTTGTGAAAAGAAAATACGGAAAAACTAATGAAGAAAAAAATGGAATGGTTGTCTCAGTTGCACAAATTCGGTAAATCTCATAAAAGATATTTTAAGTATTACGTATTAATTTGATAGATTTATCAAGAACTTAAAGGTGAGGGACTAAATTAGATTTACGAAGAACTTAAAGGTAGGGACTAAATTATTAGTTTTTGAAAAAAGGTAAACTAATCAATTCCTTCCTCGTAACGAGAGGGACTAATTTATAATTTACTCTTTTATTCGATGGGGGTTCTTTTTCAGTTCTAGGATCGGGCTTCCATTCTGGAATAGGCTGAGTCTAATTCAAAGAATCGTTAAACAGAATTTGGTTAAGGCCCATCTTTACATCTTCGACCCCGCTGAAATATTGAGCCTCATATGGGCTTCAGGCCTGCTTGGATCTAGTCTGGAGGCATATATGTTGGACATTTGGTTCCCGGCTCTACCATGTGGCACCAAGAGAGAGAAGGCCCACAAGGCCTTTTGAGAAGAAATTGTCGAACACTCTCGATACTGTTCTCTGTTTTTATTTTCATATAATTTTATCGTCGAACCCTTGATAAATTTATGCTTAGAACACGAGGAAAGTAAGCGACTGAGCACTGAAAGTGAGCTGAATTATCGCATCATGATGACAGGGAAAGAAAGTTAATAATTGGAACAAGCCACTTCTATATATACATTACAAGGTTTAAATAAATCAGCTAAATATAATTTTTGTCTAACTTCTCAATCGCATTTTTCATCTTTCCCCTCCATTTTCTTCCAAATCAAAGAGGTTTATATTTCTTTATTTGCCGTAATAAGAAACAAAGTCGCTTATAATTTGTACTAGTGGTGGCCACATATTAGATTAGAAAATTGCAAGAATATTTAATGCTATGTATACGCTTAATTTCTTAGGGAAAATTGCTCATGATTTTTTTCCCTTCAATTTCTTAAGGAAAAACTGTGCTGCCATAACTCATAAGCATACGCTCTGGCCGCGATGGTAAGTTGTTTGAAATGCAACTTGAACAAATACAATAAACTAAAACTAAAGGCTCGCATGACTAAGCATATAATGTCATGTATATAAAATTTTGTTGTGAGATTGCCACGACTAGGAAGGAAGAAGAAAAAAAGAAAAGAAATAAATAGCATTCACTCTTAATTCGGCTAGTACAAAGAAAAGCATAATAAATTACTCGATATAGTGCCATGTGATGCTGAAGCATGTTTCTAGCACTTTTTCATTCTTTTGGCAAAAGAGAAATGAAAGGAAAAAAAATAACAAAACCAAACTTTTCAGCCACTATTTTTGAATTAGCTATACTTTCAACTCCTTCTTCGTGCTAAAAAAAAAAAAAAAAACAAATTAGTTCAGAGCACAAGAAATTAAGATGAGCATGCTTCAGGGAATGCGACAATAACTTTATTAGGAAGGGACAATGATAAATTATATTAACAAAATTCTTAATTATTCCTCTTGTTAGGCATTTGTCATCATTTTTCTCAATTAATTAAATAAACTATCTTATTTGCGAGTTGATTAGTTTCATGTAAGGAAGAAACTTTTTGAAACAGCATGGCAAGAGAGGGGAGGAGAGTGCAAAGACTTGATGGACCATATATATTATTCATCAGTGGCACAATGACAACAAGAGAAACGTAGAAAAAGAAATGAAATGAGAAACATGTAGCTTGATTCCGCCATGCAAATAAATATAAACAATAATATTGACGTTTTAAATATTGCTTTGTTCAAACCGCATCATGTTTCTTGACTATGGACTGAAGAGATCGGTTGCCTGAATTTCAAAGTTAGCAAACCCTAGGCATGAACCGTTTCTACCTGTCTTTTATGCACTTCAAGGAAGCATTTCTCGTGAGAGGAAGCTAAATTCCTATTTCCAACCATTAATAAAAGTAAATTACTCCAAAAGAGTAAACACAGAGAGGAAAAAAATGTTCTATGAGCATGCAGAGGAGAATGTTGAAGCATTTATAATATTTAAAGAAGAACTATCAAAAAAAAAAAAATTATCAACTTCAAGTACTACCATCCATGCTAAACCTAATATTAATTCGAATCGTCAGTACAACGATTAAATTCCATGAGCTTTTTATCGATTCGAAGCTTGTTTTACAGAAAGCTTAATCGTAGATCTAGTTGTGGAAGATCCATTTCGGAACCAAATTTATAAGAAAATGCAGCTGCAGCTTCATTGCATTCATTTGCTTGCAACCTGAACTTCTCTGGCTCCGCTTCATCAAAAGAGTTTAAAGGGAAAAGTTGAAGAGTCTCGATCACTCGTTCTGGTTCATTCACATGATTTATCTCAGTAAAATCTGCAAAAGAAGATCACAAAAAAAAAAAAGGGATTTAATGCAACTTTCTTCATATTTATTTCAAAGAAGAGTAAAGGTTTATGCAAGACTAATTTACATTGTGCAGAAGAAAACTTGTCATCTCGACGCATCATGACATCCTTCTCATCAACAGAAACTCTGCGTCGCTTCTGTCTTTCCCTGGCTTTATGATTTTGAAACCAGTAAAAAACGTTCTTGCTCTCGATCTTGCCATAAAAACTAAGCTGAGTGGAGATGTTTTGGATCTCATCGGTACTTGGGGTTCGAAGCCCTGACCTGAACATGTCAGTTAGAAGTTTAACTTGTTCGGTAGTAGGATTCCAACGCCCGCATTTAGTTCCTGTGCCACAGCTATTGCCACTGCCACCGCCACGTCCTGCTTTTGTGATACAAAAGCCTGACATTCTCTCTTCCATTATCTCTGTTAGCTTCAGATGCTTACTTTCGACTTTGATACAGATCACTGAGAGAACTTTCTTTTTGAGACTCTGAACTCAAAAGATAAGACTCCGTGTGCATATATAATAGACTACACACTAACACACACATGCTTTATTTTTTATTTTCCTTTTGTACTTATCCTTTGTTTTATTGAATTGGTGATCAAACGATAGCAGAAACAGAACTTTTGTTTATTAATTTCAGTCTGCTTTGATTTTAGGGATTGTGTGAGACTGAATATTTGTAAGGATTTGATCGTGCCCGGATTTTTGTGCGCATATATACATAGAGAGAGAGAGTGAAATAGAGAGACATGCGCAAAAGCTGCCACTATTCAACGTATTGGTCGGCGAGCAGACAGCAAGTAAGTTTGATCATTATTTATTAGTTAATTATTAAAATCTTTTGGTATTAATTACGTTGATTCTTTGTTCTATATTTCTATTTCTTTGATGAGTTGATCTTCATAGACAGACAAACAGATAAGGCATTCTTTGTGTTTTTCAGTAAAGTGTACGCTCGATGGTGCATATGGTTTAATATAGGATTTAGTACTGTGTGATGTTGTGTTTTTCTTGTATTTAGCAGACCATCCAACCACTCAGGACATGAGAGTAATCTAACTGAACTTTATTGTGAAGTAATCAATGTTTGTTAAAGAACACTAAATTGTTGGATGTCTATTTACTTGAGTATGTGCATTAATAGATCATGTTGCTGATATTAATGCTAATGGCTAAATGAGCTTCTAATATATAGCCTTCTGATCAAGCTTAGTTAGTAGGCTAATTAATCTAGTAGGGTCCAAATTACCAACCAGGCCAAGGGGAGGAATCCAAGTTTTGTTTTTAAACTAAAAGATATATGATAAACAACACCAGGATAGTTCAAAAAATCTCAGAATGTCCTAGTAAAGAAGATTTATTTACAAATGAAAGTCAAAGTTCACATTGTCTGATTTTGGCTGGACTATTGTGATCGCATCTACTGACATAGATACTTAGTTAGGCTGACTATAAACTATTACAGCTACGTCAGTCAAATAATGTTGGTTAAACCTGCTTTTAAGGATGTGGGAACACAAACTAAAGGACAACAAAGCCTCCGAATTGAGATCTGGGAGAGACAACTCATGAGCAAACAAAAAGGGAAAGCAACTTGTATTTTCTAATGTCATGTGGCTTGGCTCCTGTCTTAGGCAACTACATGCCCTTTTTCTAGTTGTCTGCTTTGCCTTCCAACTTTTAACTAGTTCAAAATTAGGGAACTTAAAAAGGCAGTGACTAGGTGTTTGAGATGAAAAGTAAGTGAACCCTTGTACTTTAGAGCTTGTCCTTCAACTAGTAATTCAAAAGTTTTAACGTTAATAATATTGACTACAGGAAAGCATGAAATTAATCTTGAGATTTCTATCGTTTCAATGCGAAATTCTTTTATCTTATGTGATAGTTGGAGATAGAAATTTGAAATGAATATGAGGATTTGAACTTACTTTGTTCGAGAATTCGAATATTTAATAATGGTCTGCTCCATTTAAAATGCACTTGTCCCACTTATGGCTAGGCATGAAAAACTTCAAACCTGCAGAATAACTAGCTATTGCGTATTGAACAATATAGTATAGAACATAAAAGCTGAATTGTATGCTTTATAATCATCATTTGTATAAACAGTCTAAGAAAATACAGTGCTGAAAATAGATGTGACAATTTTCTCTAAATTTCCTCTCAAAAAACAAAATCCAATTCGATTCTCTCATGTTTCTTGCGATTTGACTGAGTTTCTCGCTGTTTCTTGGCTAGTCTTTCCACCTGTTACTCTCATTATTTCTGTAATCTGGTCTACCAGTACTGGTCCAAAATTTAGGTTCACATCCATTTTTATTTTACACACTTCCTTCAATTCCCGAGGTTGTTCTATTCTCGATATGCATGAATTTGTCCCTTAGTAATTTGGCACTGCAGGCTGCGGTGTTCTAACTCCTAGGTATCTACTTAATGACTTAAATAATCTGTACTGTCTTGGTATTAATACCAAACAAACAACAGGAAATTAATAAAAAAAATCGTTCACCAAAATCTCATCTAATGAATCTCTGATTTTTTATTTGTATTTTTTTGCTTTGTATATTAGTCTAGAGTCTTATTGAGCATTGTAGTACAGAATGCAAATGAAAATAGGCAATCTCATTTATATACCTTCACCCACTAATGAGTGAGATTAATTTAAACTTTCGACTACCTTCAACTTAAAATTCGATATTCAAATCGGTAAGTGTTCCCTTGGAGACAACGAATTCTTGCATATTATGTAAACTATTCTTACTCATGTTGCCAATCAACAGTAGGCTCACCAAAATACCAAATATCAAAGCAGCCTATATTCATAAAGAAGAAAATGAATCTTTGGCATATGCAGCTCTATAGAAAAAGGAAGTGGAATTCGAGTTGCATCAAATCCTCGATTTGTGATGGAACAACTTCAGTCCAATGCAATCACAACCATAAAGATAGATCAAATAATCAAACAAGGAAATACTACTCTTGAATGAAACAGGGAGTATGAAATGCCCTTGTCATTAGCAGTCCTAGTACCAGCTAGAACTGTTTACTATTTTTAAACCCATGATTAATATCCGATCCTTATTTTCTAACCACAATTATAAAATCATCTTAAGAAGTTTTCTTAAACTGGCTAGATTCTAAGTTATCGAAAGTATATGCAAACATGCACCAACAGTTATAGGAAGGATTTAAGAGGGATGTTGGAAAAGGTGCAAGTGTTTGATCTGGCTGTCTTTTGTATGGGTTCCCGTTGATAAATTTAGAGAGAAACACTTTATTTTGATGAGTGGGAGAGATAGGGGAGTTGGCTCCGACAAACAACAACAGAAAAATGATTAGTGCGAAACGAGGCGTAACATATAGGTCTAGAGGGCTAGAGGCTACGGAGAAATATAGGGCACGCGTGAAATCTAGGCCAGCCCCAAGATTTCCGTCCCTATTCTCCTGTCTGCACTGCACTCCACATTTATCGTTATTGTGAATTAATCCATAGTGGAAGATCGCCAAACACGGCCGCGGACAAAATGGTGGGAAAAAAGAACTAATCATAGGAACTAAGACATGCAGCATCATCAGTGCAAAACATTCTAGATGCCCCATCATAGGAGGCCCACCAAGCAGTCACTCTGCAATTACTGCAAACTGGGAGAGTTGCCGGTGTCGGAGGTCACTGTTGGGCATGATTTGGCCCAGGACGAAATAGAATTCTGCTAACATTACCTGATTTAACGTTGTTGCCAGTTTGTAACAGAAGTTACAAGCAACAAAGTTCTGTCCGTAAATCTTCAGTAGAAGCACCCGACTCCCCATTTCCCCAAACTCAACAGTTATTATCTCGTGATTAAAAACTGCACTCTTACTCCTAACTGGAAGTACAGGCATAGAGCTAGTGCGTAGTCGAGCAATGGAGGTCTTACAGTCCGTTTCGTTCCCAATATTTTGGTTCAAGAATGATGCATCTCTACACAAGTTAAATGTTAGAGCTGGAATCCCAACACTGCTCTTTCGATTACCCATCCGGCAGAATCCGGTAACTGTGTGCTTGCGAGATATAGAAGCAGGTGGTTTGCAAGTATTTCATTGATGCATGAGTGAATGGCTGTTTCTCCATATAAATCATATATATACAACGGGACATCCATTAATCCTTTAGGCCCACCACAGCTTGCCTAGCCCATGGATCGACACAAGAAAGACCACGCCTAGGGATCCAAGGAAGTTGCTGATTCCCTGTTCAATTATAAGACTTCAAACTAAGACCACTCTATATTCCGCGCCAAGTCTTTACCTCACGAGTTGTCAGATTTCAAAAAGAAAACATGGTGCGAGAATTCTCAGAGACGCCAGTTCCGAATATCGAATGTGAGTTTAGACTTAACAGGAGAGCTGCTTCAACTTAGTCAACACCACTCAAAATATTTAAACAATCACACCCAACCCACTAAATGTAACATAATCAGTAAGTTGTTGCGCAAGCTCAAATGCAGTGGCATCATCCAAAAAAATTAACCTTACCAATCAAAAACAAAGTTACTAATCCAGTTTCTACAGGATCCAGTACCACCATAATGCAGGTTTGGGATGCAGACACCATCAGTTTGAGAAACCCAGCCAGGAGTAAGGATAAAGAGATAAGAACTGAACAAAAAGTATAGCAGCATTTGTAAGGAAACCAGATTTTACCTCGAGCTTACAAAAGTGAATAACGTTATCTGGAGAGTAACTGAACCATTATAAAAAGCAATCTTTTGATGAAATTGTAGATAGCCTACCTAACAAAAATCAACACAACCTTCTCAGACAAAATGGTTGATTCCCCAAACTTGATAATACATCACTATAGTTCAAAACCCATGAGAATTAAAATGGTTTTGGGCCGTGAATTCAGCCAGTGGACAGAAATCAGAGGATCTGAGCAGCTGTATTCAACTTCTCTGCTAAGCTGAGCTGTGTCCTGGTGATGCTTGACAAATACAGCAGCAGTAAATGGTCCTGCAAGAACCAAGAGAAAGTAGAAGCGTATAGATTTAAATAAGCAAATAGAGTTGATAAGAAGACACTAATATACAAAGCAGAAAACCACACACAATGCAGCAGAAACATGCCAACAAATTGTCATTAACAAAAATCAAATGATGTCATTACAAAGCAGAAAACTACTTGCATACAAATGTTTCAAGACCTAAATTTGAAAACAAAAAAAATGAAGTGTAAATTCTTATCACAAGATGCAGTTATGATCGGTAACACTCCTGCAATCATTTGAAACTTTATCACAAGCTACAACTAGGTGAAAATAACTTAATTTTACCTGCACATTGTCATTTACAAGCTTATCAAACGCAGGTGGTGACAATTTAGGAAGGGAGGCGACAGTGTCAGATATAAACCGCCCTATGTCGTTATCTGGTGCAGTACGCCCTTCCTAAGAAGAGAACCAATTATTATCTTAAACAATAAGGAGGTGAAAACAAATTGAAGAAGGCAGTGTCATCTTACTCACCACCACATCATCAACATATTTGTACACATCATCAATTAAGGCTAGTAGCCGTTGCATAGAGACTTCCATTCCTTCCAAATCACTTGGAATTTTGTCAACCATTGTGGTCTTCAAAATGTCAACTGCAATTATGATAAACACAGGCAGATTCCAGATATTTAACAATGATGCCAAAAGGAAAACTGGCAGGGCATAAAGAAATAACAACAGGTGGCACCTTTACATACAAAAGATACAATATTCAGAGCTTGATGAAATTCAAATTCAGCAATTGTTCCAAATTGAAAAAAAAAATACATAAGTCATGATCAGAGCTGATTGTTTCATGGAGATGACCAGCAAAGTACAGAAGAGAATCATTGTTTCAAACAAAAAAGAAATCTAGCCCGAGGAAAGAGAAAAAGAAAATGGTGGGAAAATTTGAAGTTTACAAAGCTATTACCAACTAGGCTCTTAAGAAGAAGGTCGGTGGCATCACTTCCTTTCATAACTTGAAATATAAGAATTTATAACAATTACATCCTTTGACAAAATCCATTCACGTCAATCCACTTCACCCCACTCCAATCCACCCAAAAAAAAAGAAAAAAAGAAAGAAAGAAAACAAAAAGACTCAAAAGGACTATCTCAGAATGTTTCACCAAAGAGTCAGAACTAACAACCTAATCTATAAAGGTCACCGATAAAAAAAAGAAAAAAAAATCTAATAGCACAAGTGTGTGTGTGTGCACCTGTTTGTTTTGGCAAGTGCACAGAGAGAACAACAAAACAGAAAATGGAGAATGCCAATCAACAAAGGTTTTACTAGGAATGAAAAATTCGTGACATATACATACATCCAACGCGCTCAGCTTCAACCATTCGAAGATCAAGAGGAACTTCTTGAAATTGTGCTGCAAGTGGACGGTCCCCAAGAGACAAATTCACAGAAACATAAGCCTTTATGGTACCCTCCCCATTCCTGAATCCTGTATCCACGGTCAGATGAATAGGGTTCGCAACTTCTCTAGAATAGAAGTCATGAATCAATGCACTGCCACCTGTAACTCCTAACCCAGTTGAATACCTGCATAAAATTACATAAGCACATCAACATAACAAATTAATTAATTCCAAAATTCCCGCCTCATCTAACACCAGTATAGATATAGATATGAAAAGCATATAAAAGCAGAACGAAATCAAATTTGAACAATGCACTAGACACTACACTATCACAACATACCAAAACGTTGTAATAAATTTTTCACGAGTAATTTACATAAATCACCCAAAGAATATGGAAATTCGTGGAAGTGAGAATTACCATCCAACAATAACTTCCTTAGGATTCACTTTTTGATGAGACAACAGCAAATTATGATGGTAATCAATATCCAAAGCCACCTGCATCCATTTAATAAACAAAACCGAATACAGTTATTCCTACAAAAAATTAATGAGCTAGAAGTGAAAGGAAAATACAAGTAACCTTCAGAGAAATTTCCTGATTGCATTTTAGCCAAAACAGCAAAAACAATAAGGCAACAAGAAAATCAGAGGAGAGATATTTGAAAACCTGTTCGGAGGATTCGTTGTGAGGGACGGCATAAGAGTTACGGATATCAACGGTGCCATCAGGTAAGACGGAGCCAAGAAGAGTGCCAATGACGCGCTCGGCTTGATCGGGCCGCCTAACGTAGCAATCGCAGATGTTGAAGATCACAAGAGGGTGTACCTTCGCGGAGAGGGTCGATGAAGATGATGGTGCGAATTGGAGGACTGTTTTCTGCTCGCTCCCCGCCATTCTCCGATCTCGATTTGAGGCAAAGAGGGGGCGAGAAAGAGGATAGAGAGTGAGGACTAGGGTTTTGGCCTTTGGGGGGAGGATTGAGCTGGAGTTGGTGTTGATTTTGTTTAGATTGTTGTTGGGCTGATACTGGCCTAAGTTGGGAGTGTTTGTGGGCTTTGTGGAGAAAAGAAAAACGCTGCGTAGTAACCAGACCAAAAAAAAAAAAACTTTACTCCTCTTTTCAAGTTGATGAATTTCTTCTCCTTTTTTTAAAAAAAATTTGAGAGAAAAAGATATTGGGTGAACTAAAAATAATTGATCGTCCGTGTAAAAAATGAGGCCTGTCAAGCATGTATTCTAACATCAAAATTATGTTGTTTGGACCTTTTAATAAAATTCATGAGATTATCGTGTTTGGTAGTTTTTTTTTTCCTGCATTTCTTTCATTATATTTAAATAATTAGTGGATCTATTTTATAATCATATATGTTTATTTAGACTATGTATTGTTTTTATTGCATATATTAAGATTTTATTTTATCATTTTAGTTGATTTAATTTATATTTTATATGGATAGACATATAATTTAGTGCAAATCCCTCTTTTTAGTTTTTAATTATTTTTATAAATCAAAATATTAAAATTATCATTTATTGATGCTGTAAATATATATTTTTTTTAATATAAGTGTTCTTTCCTTGGTTGGTTAATTCTTTTATGTATGTAGATTTGATTTGTTTGTTTAATACTTGATAATATCATTTTAGTTTTTAAAGTAATTATTCGATTTGGTTGAATTCTTATTATTTCTAATTTATTTTTTAATTAGAGCTTTTTGCATAAGAGAAACCATAAGAAGAAATAAGTTGCGTGTTATTTATGGAAAATCTATTTTTTCATCAATGTATAACAAAAATTTGACAAATGGTTTTTGTTCATCCATCGTTATCTTTTTCTTTTTCTTTTTTTCCTTTTTTGAATTCAATTTCAATGTTAAATATATTATTATATATAAATACAATATGTTATAGGAAAACCTAAAATTAGTTTTCAAACTCATAGTTTCTTCGATTCCAATCACTTCTGGTTGTGCTAGGACGAATGACGATCATTGACGTTTGTAATCAATTTCAAGTATAATATTTTAAGTGCAATGTCATAGAATAAAGAGATAAGGTTTGTTAGAATTATCATCATCCAAAACATTATTAAAAAAAATGCATGAAACGAGAAACAAGAATACGAGTGAGTTTCTCCTGAAGATAGAGAATCCATTGATTTTTTTTTTCAGCATTCCAAGTTCTGAAAATTCATTGATGGTGTAAGAAATCAAATATATATAAAAGTATTAAGTACAAATTAATAATCTAGATGTTTCAGATACTTAATCTACTATATGTGAGATTAAAATATGAATAATTGTCTTATCTCCTTCAACAAATAGTAGATTTTATCCATTTAAAACCAACCTTCACAAGAAAACATTGCTACTCATAAAGCTTGAACTTGCTAATTACATGGCTTTTAAAATGGTCAAATCCTCACACCACTTACTCTCACAGCCTCTATAACTAGCAACCAAATCCTACACACCACTTACTCTCACGGCCTCTATAACTAGCAAATCCAAACAAAAAACCTCTAAAAAAACTAGATCTGCCCAAAAAAGGACAGATCTAAACATCCCCAACCTTTAGTGGGGAGAGGAAGAGGGTTGTTGGGGGTGGGCAATTCTCGAGGGGAAAAAATGGACGCTAGGAAAAAAGCTGATTAAAAAAAGGGAGTAAACAAAAAAAGAAAAGAAAAAGAGAAAAGCAGATGACCTATCATACTACCGCCAGTAAAATCTATTTGGATCGATATGATAAATTGCACTTGATTTTTTGCATCCAAATTAAGGTTCTTCATTTTTATTTTCTCTGCTCCGGTTTAATTGTTATGAGGTATTTTCAAATAAAGATGCATCAAATTCAAATTAATTTATCCGAACGTATGATAATGATCTAAGTGAATCCAATTCCATCCTGTTTGAACTCTAGATTCTACGTGTGATTAATGCCATGCTAGTTCAAATCATGTAAAAGTTCTCTTACTTTTTGTGGTTTTTGACCATCAAATGTTTTGAGTTGAATTCTTTGCTTTACCTAACAAGCAAAATCCCTCTCGTTACGAGAAGAACGTCAAACTCATTTATGAAAATAACAAGTTTCTTTCTTCTTTAACCCACTTCTGAACCTAGCAAAATTTCTCCTAATTTCAATTAGGTGGTAGCATGCTAGGGGCCAAGTAGAGCACCTTTTACATAAAAGAAGGTGGAGACGGTGACTGGAAGTTTGCCAACGGTCACATATATTTCACTCGACTGAACCCATAAATGTCATGGCCAACACAGCTCACAAAAGCAAGATAAGGAAAGATTCCATGAACGAAGTGCTCCTAATGAAGAAAAGGAGATTAAGAGAATCGACGGCTGATGACAAACGGTCCATACTCATCAAATGATTTCATTAATCTAAATGGGGTAATTGACATTGCAGTTCAAGGGTTCAAATTTCATGGACTGATCCAAAATTTCAAATGGATCAAAAACTAAATAAATAAAATTTTCTTATCCTAAGTCATCTAACGGCACCATTGTCATGTAGTATTTTGCTCCTTTTAACAAAATCTAACCGCGGAAAATAAATCATCAAATATGCAATTTCGACCAATGATCACGTATCACGTAGAAAATCGACTAAAACCATTTTTTTTTTTTGTACAGCATGGGGTTAGAAGTTCGAAAAAATAAAAACAATGTACAAACTCTTGGGATAGAAATCTATATACAATCAGCCCATAAAAGGATCCATAAATCTTCGAGTGAAATTTCATATCGTGTAAGCCCATGAACCATACAAATTCCAGACTTGGCAAGCCGGGGCACAGGGATTGCCTTCCATGCAAGTGTGCTTGGAAAAATAATTAAAAAACCACTCTTACCTCAGACAAATATCCTAGTATTATCCTTCTATCATGTACGTAAGAAAACAATTACTATCATATTTTATATATCTTTCATAACCTTATCATCAACTGCTAACGAATTCCACAAAAGATACTGTTAATTATACCATAGGAAAACGGACAAATTGCACAAGTCGACTAAGAGAAATTTAGAGCACAAAAACCAGAGAGTAGGTTTGGTCGGTAACATGAAAGTGACATTCCGCAATTCGTAACCATACAAGTATTGAATATTATAGAAGCCACCACCTCACTTAAGATGGGCCCCATCAGCAACCCGCTCGAACGAAAAAGTAAAAACGAGAAAGGAGAGCGGTCCTTGAAGAAACACATATTACTATTATTACATGTGCTTGATTATAGGTACAAATGCACAAAAGGCCAAACAGAGAAAATGGAACAAACTGGGGTTGATTTTCCTCTCGAAACATCATCATACGGTCGAAAGTAAAGCATCATAATCACAACCATCACTTCTTGAAAGGAATGGCTCTGATCACAACCTGGTGGTAAAGAGCTGCAAGTGCTGCCCCAATGAATGGTCCGACCCAGAAAATCCACTACATCCAACCAAAGAAAATGAGATGTCAAGTCAACAATGGGCACACTGTAATTACTAATTAGGTTTTGGACCACCCGAAAAAAAGGGGAATTTATTAGTTGACTAATAATTCAAGACTTACGTGATCATCCCAGCCCTTGTCCCTGTTGAAGATGATCGCTGCACCAAGACTACGAGCTGGGTTGATACCGGTTCCTGTAATTGGGATTGTGGCCAAGTGCACCAAGAACACAGCGAACCCAATTGGCAAAGGTGCCAAAATCTGACCATACACATATTCGCCATCATTAAATTCCATGAAAGTGAATAAATAATTGATGTAATTAATCAACTAGTTTTTATTTTGTTAGTGAGAGAGATGGAGAGCTTACAGGGACATGGGAATCTCTGGCACTACGCTTGGCATCCGTGGCAGAGAAGACAGTGTAGACAAGAACGAAAGTGCCCACAATCTCAGCGCCAAGGCCATCACCTTTGGTGTAACCTGCATTGACGGCATTGGCACCACCACCAGCCAGATCGTACCGTGCGCTCCCATAAAATCCTTTCACTACACCAGCACCGCATATGGCACCAAGGCACTGCATCACCATGTAGAACACGGCCCTTGTCAAGGACAACTTCCTTGCCAAAAATAGCCCAAAAGTCACAGCAGGATTTATGTGACCCCCTGCAAGTAACCAAAATCACATCATAAATTAATGAAAAAAAAAAAAACTAAGTCTATTTTCAATACCAGAACCATAACTATTAATTCAAACTTGAATTTCATGTCAGTTTTTAAAATTTTTAAGACCTGAAATGCCAGCAGTGCAGTAAACAAGAGCGAAAATCATGCCACCAAAGGCCCAAGCGATCCCTTGAATCCCAACCGTTGTACACTTGGTCTTGTCCTTAGACACGCCCATCACAGTCAAAACGGTGACGTACAGAAACAAGAAAGTGGCCACGAACTCTGCAATACCAGCCCTGTAAAAAGACCATGAAGTCAGTTCGCCTGGCTCAAACAGTGGTGCCGGGGGTGGCTCCTTGTAGTCCTTGTCATCTTGGCTTTGAGCTGCCGTGCCAATTGGCTGCCTCTCGTTGAACTTGTTAGCTCCCAATCTAACATCTTCTTCTTTGCCCTCCATAACTACTGTTTTTTTTTTTTTTTAGCTCAAAAGATGCAAAAGGATTGTTAACAAATAAATAATTTTCTTTTTGGTTACTGTCTAGTGACCGTTTGATCTCTGTTGAGAGTGGAGTAGTTTGTGGTGGTGGGTTTTATAGAAGAGAGTGGGGCTTAGTGGGCGTATTTAATTGCATTTTTTTTTCTGGAAAATAAATTTACTTATTTATTTTGTGACCGACCAATCATTTTCTAAGGCTCTCATTGGTTTTTATTTTTGTTTTCATTTTTAATGAAGGAATTCTCTCTGTTTTTTTCTTCATAGAAAAGGACCTAAAAAATAAATATATATGTTCGGTGAAAACGACATGGCGTATAGTGAATTTCATAGTCGGCACAAGGGTGGCCACACATGTATAATTGCATACTATGATGATGTTTGATGAAACCACCGCCCATCTTTCAATAATGGAGAACGGACACAAGTGAATTAAATTGAAGTGAAGTTTGGCTTTGAAACGGAAACGTGGATATCTCGCTCTCAGTGGAGTTAATTTGTGGTTTGGTAACAAACGGGCTTCAAAATTTCAATTTTAACAATCAAATTAATTGCTTTTTTTTGCCCTTTGCTTTCTCTACCGAGCATCATAATTAGTGTAGTTAATCTCATATTATCTGATAGTGATTAGCAACACGTGAGAAGGCACTCAAAACGCTAAAATGCTTGCAAAAATTTAAATAGCGTGGTTCGTGGTTTTAATCAAGTACGAAAATGGATCAACGTCTGCTAATATCAGTGCGATAGCTCTGTTAATGATAAACATCATTGTATAAGAAAAAGAACTACTTAGTTGACTAAAAATTATTTCTCCAAGTTTCATTTCTTTAGAGAAAAATTAGAATTGAAAACATCAATGCATACTCTATCCTTTCTGTTCTTTATGGTACAAGTACAACAGGTCATTTTTGCCTATGCTGTACTGAATGAACGGGATAACTGTACAGTACAATGATTTTTATTTTATTTTTCAATAAAAAATATGTGAAATTTAATTTTTTATATGAGTATATTAATTTTTTTTTAAATATCAATGAAGTATTTATGTTAATTTCTTCGTTGAGTTATTTTTTCAATTGAATACATAGATTTTTTTTTAATATATTAAATTTTAAAAACTCGCTAATAAGTATTAATTTTCATCGATTTATCTATTAACTAAAGATATTTTTGTAACTCTTAAAATATCAAATTATAACTTTATTTTTTCTTTTTTTAACTGGAGAGAACTTTTCTTTCAAATGCTAAAAGGTAATGAATTTTTTTGATAAAAAAATCTCATGTTTAAGTCCTCAATTTTTATGCTTAAATCTAATTGATATTAATTTTTGATTTTATATATATATATATATAATTTTTTGTCAAATTTTCAAATGGTTAAATAATTAGAGAAAAAGTTCTTTTTAGCAAAGAAAACAAAAAAATGTAATTTGATATTTTAAAGGTAACAAATCCTTCATTAATCAATGAAAAAAATTAACGGAAGCATTTGATTGATAATTTTTTTTAAAATAATGTATTCAAATAAAAAAATTAAAATCTATATATTTAATTAAAAACTGATGTACTTTTAATACTATTATCTCCTTATTGAATTATTAATCCTTATTCTTTAAAAACAATTTTGAGTCAATGATTATCTCCGCAAAGAACCAGAGAAACTGACAAGCTTGGCAATGCGGTTTGGTTGATGATGGGGGATTCGTGGAACATGATTATCCTAATCATTATAAATAGTTACTAATGTGGTTTGTTGCACAGATGCCATAGATTATAGGAGGAGTGACCTGTTAGGATAATGTTAATAGCTCTGCCCCCTTTCTTTAAATTTTTTCTGGCCTTTTGGTCAGCTTGGCTTTTAATTGAAGTTTCTCTTTTTATTTTTATTTTTTTAGCAACTCTGCATGTCGTGTGCGAATCTTTAATCTTGTGATGTGGCTTCATCAGCTTGTTCTGGCGAAGAGGTTAGGTAAGATGCAGCACATTGAATGATCAGATTAGACGGAGTGGCACCTATCATAATAGCCTGGACTAGATAATAGATCTCCTGCCTGAAATTTGCTGTTGCAATAATTAAAAAAAAAATGTTGAAACTTTTTTGCTAATTTGGTCAGTTATGGAACAGTGCCTGCCCTCTAGTTTCTTGTCCTTTTCCTCATGGTTTGGTTTGCCAAAAAGATGAAGAAACATGGCGATCGGAGAATGTTTGGCCCATAGGTCTATTGCACATGTTGTGACTGTGAACTATAGTTTTAAATCACCTATGATAGAAAAAATAAATCTTGATTTCTATCATTTATTATAATATTAAAATAATAATAATAATAATAATAAAATATTTTAAAATCGTTATATAATCATCATTATATAATATAATAATTATTATTTAAAACTATGCTAGGTAGTACATCCTTCCGAGATACTAGTCAGATAGGAAATTAAGTTCCAGCCAGAACTGCTCAAATATTCTAGCAGAATCACATGGCCACTTCTCTTCCTGTAACGCTGTTTCTTGTCAAATCAGGTTCTGGAGGTTCCTCTTCGCAAGGGGGCGGAATTGATGGTTTATCCATGAATATCGATCTAAGTTCTTTAATTTGAGTAAGCTCGCAATCTTTTATAATTCATTCTGTATGCAAAAGGCGGAGCCACCATAGGGATTAGAAAACTGAATAATTTACTAACTATGTCCGCATTAGCATAGCAGCCTTATTTCTGTTCTTTATGCAGGGCAACCACGCAAGATAATAATGCGTCTTTAAAAATAATTGTTATTTTAGGGGTAAGGTTATGACACAATAAGACCTATGAGCTGTTGGTAAAAAAAGACTGGTTAACACTTGTCAAGCAGACAATCATTCCCGTCTAAAACAAGACGTAAATCATACTAATAGTATTGGAATGTTACTAATATATTGTTAAAATATAGGATAATAATGCGTTTGACAACCGCCCATTTAATTAAGACCATTTATCTTTAGCTTATTTTAACGAAGTTATATTCCCCAAGATTGTGGTTGATGACATGAGCAAGTTTTGTATTGCAGGGAGTGCCATTCTGCTGTTTGGATGGATTAGATAGATGGCTTTTAGATTGTTCCTAATTCAGATTCAGCTTATATGTTTCTTGTACCTTCAACTTCATTTCAGCATTATAACGCGAATGAAAATTCATTGAAGAAATTGATTTTCAAGGAAAAAACATTATAGAAGCTGTCATATAACCATATGTCTATATGAGATTATTAACGGAAATATGTAAAAGTAGATGTCTCATCTCTCTTTTTCTACGTATAATGTAAGCCATCGTACATGTTTTGTTCAACAAGTCCTTGTATTGAATTCCCTGAGTGGGGGGCATATTTTAGCTTTCCTTGACTGTAACCAAATCGTGGGTCTTAAACAAAGGGGCAATAGCTTTTCTATGGAAAAGACAAAAGATCAAAACACTCTAGTGGAATTTACAGGTTTTTTTTTCTTCTTTTCTGGATGATAGGGATTTTAATTTTCGCAGCCTACTTTGGAAAATTCAGTCGAAAACGTGGACTTCCAAACCAGTTGCTGAAATACACGAGGAACCGACTCTTACCGTCCCAGTTACATCATTTTGGTCGTGATGTTCATGATTTGATGTCGCGATGCAATGAATTTTAGAGCTGCACTCGCACATGCTTTGGATGGAAGAATGTAAGCGGCTTGTGCTGTGTGGCTACTAGCTAGCCATTAGATCGTCCATGTCTTTCAGCCGGCTAATATGCTACCTAAAAACTTTGAGCCAGTTTTTTTTTCCCACGGTTGCTTTCAGTTCGATAAATAAAACATCCGACAATGAGAGCTGCGTTGATCGTATCATTTCACAGATTAGATTTTGTACCTACTCCATGCCAAAAATTGATATTCGCTGATAAGAAAGTATTCAAGGTCGAGTAAAAAATTGAGTAAATCATAAGTTAGTCCCTCTATTTTTTAAAAACAAATTAATTAATTCTCTTTATTTCAAAACTAATTATTTAGTTTATGAATAAAAGATCACATTTAACTTCATCTTATTTTATTTTATAAAATAACATATATTTTTATATTTTTTATTTCTTAAAACAAAAAATCAAAATAAATTTAAAAAATTAAGTTACAAGAAAATTTGAAGTACAGAAACTAAATAATTAGTTTTTTTTAAAAAAAATAATTAATTTGTTTCTCAAAACTAGAGGAACTAATTTATTATTTGCTCATAAAAAATTGAAAGAATAAGATTACAAATAAGGAGAAAAAAAATCTAGAAAGCAACAGCCATAGTCTTGTAATTTAAAACTTTGTTTTCTTCAAGAACTTTCCCCATACATGACAACCTTATATTACCTATAATGTATACTGATCTGAACTATAGCCGTCTCCTAGGAATGTCATCAGAACTAGAAAAAATTAATAATAATTATCCATGCTTTATATTTCTAATAAGCAATGAAGAAATATATGATCACAGTAGTCTTATATCACTGAATGGAGATACAAGTAGTTCCTGATATACAAAAGAGGGATCAGTTGGTGCTCAACAATTCCATCTTGATGGATCAATAATGAAATGGGAACAAAATAAGACATAATCCAAAAAAAAACCAGATCAGGATTGAACGGCTGTTAGCCTACGGTGGCAAAAGAAAATGGGGAAGGGGACACAACCGAGTCCTGAAATACAGAGGCTGAAAATTTTGTGCAGCCCAAAACCCACATTTCAGCAATGCAGCTTACCTCTGAAAAATGTCTGCCTGTTTCAAGCACCATGAGATTCTAGGTTCCTGGGCAACGAAATTATGAGAAAATTTAGATCCTAATATTCGTGCCAAAAGGTTCATACACTGAAATACATGTAGAACAAAAAATTCAATGATGCAGCATTCAGAAAAATGACATTCTTGCACAGCAAGTTCTTGAATATATAATGTCAAACAATTAAGATTATTTGGCTACATAATACCCCACCACTATCAAATGCTAAAATTCAACACGAGACCAAAGGGAAAAGGCTCAGGACTTGCAAAACAAAAACAATGATGACTAGCCATAGGAACATCGCACTACATTCAACTTTAGCAGTTTAGTTAAGTTAGCTTTGAATCCATTTTAATTGGCAGTGGAAACAAAGTTCTTAATGCCAATAAGACAACTCTCTAGTATATCCAAATTTCACAACATGCGACTATCTCATTAGCTCAAACAAAGAACAATAGTAAGATCTTAGGCATATATAACTTTGCAAGTATCAAACTAGACTTTCTAAACTTAAGTTCCTCAAGGAAGTCAAAGATACAGGCAATAGCGCTAGCAAAGGCAGAAAAATAAAAGAAAAAATATTACTATCTTATTGAGCACGACATGGAAACAACCTTAATTGGAATTTACAAAATTGAAAAATATATAAACATTGCTCTTGCCCAGAACACTCGAACAACAAGGTGTATCACATAATAGAGGAATAAGACAGAATAGGTCAGAGTGACTCCTTAATATTTCATTCTATTACCAGGATCTTCCCCCTTGTAATTTTTACTAGGTAAGAAGTGACTCGCTACTTATCCCTCAACCTCGCACCACACGTTTACCATACACCGTGGTCCAAATTCTTTCCCTGTTATACAAAAACGAATCATAGAAGTTAAGGGGGCATTTGATTCTTACTTTTTTTGCATGTGCCACTTCTCTATGCTTCCATACCAATTCCATTGGAAACACAGAGCTGCAAGACGTAATATACCAGCAGCAACCACCTCAACAAATGCCATCAAGTATGATCTCTGAGGAGATAAACCAGCAGTAGCTATGGACAATAAGATTCCTTCAGAGTTGCAAGGGATTATAAAACTACTAGATTTAATGCCGTCTAAAGCTTTCTTTGCAACTTCATCGGCTTTCATTGCACCAGAGGAGGCTGCTATGATGCTTGTGAGTTGTGGTTTTCTTTTGTTTTCTGCAATGAACGTTCATCTTTTAGTTCCTGACAGCAACTGAGTTACAACAGAATAGATATCTCCAAAGTTTGATGCAGATGCATATTTAACAAGCACAGCATATAACAAAGTCTGCACATTCACATGTACAGTGTCCATCACAACTACATAACAAAATATTGCAGTAAACTTAAAGAACTTATCAAATAAATATCTTCCTATGTGTTCTTCATCGTGACTTTCACATTAATAACAGTGATCTAATATAATTATGCAATATCAAAATCTATCACACCTCAAGTTTAAACATATCAATCATCGCGAAGAGGCCATTGTTGTCGAATTAAAAAAGAAAAAAATACATATTGACACGATCCGTTATGCAAGTCTTGTAGGACAGAAGCCTAAACCGAGTTCGCACATTTCTCAGATGCCAACTCTTACAATCCAAAATAAACTCAACCAAATTAGCCAACACCCACGAGTGCTAATATGTCATAACATTCTATAACCTTATTGTAGTTCCACACAAATTCCATACCTTCAGCCAGACCAGGAGTTTCAGTATCCGGAGGGAATACAAGAGAGACATGGATATTGTCCCCAATGACCTCCTGTTGCAATGCTTCTGCTAAACCCCGAAGACCAAATTTACTAGCTGAGTAAGCTGTGTATCCATAAATACCTACCTGAACACAAACAATCCTCATGAACGACTAACTAAGCGCGCACACACACACTAAAAAACATTAGTATAAATTAATCAGTACCTGACCAGCCTGTGAAGACATGAGAGCAATAGAACCAGGTCCACGATCCTTCCGGCTTCTCTTCATTCCAGGCAAGGCAGCTTTAATCATATTGAAACTCCCCATCAAATTAACATCAATCATGAACCTGACCTCATCCAATTTCTGCTCCTCCAATTCCTGGGCCACAAAAACCCCTTGATTCACAATCAACACATCTACGGGCCCAGCTTCATTAACGGCTTTCTGTACAGCTTCAAAATCTCTCACATCAGCAGCAAAAATTGCCACGTCGATGCCGGTGGAGACTCTGATTGCGTCCTTAGCTTCTTCTAGCTTGTCTATTGAACGGGATAAAATTGAGACGTGGGCTCCCTCTGATGCGGCCTGGTGGGCCAGGGCTAGACCGATGCCGCTGGATCCGCCGGTGACGAAGACATGGCGGTTCTTTATTGGGATTTTGATGGGTCGAGGTCTGGTGATTAGGGATAGAAGAAAGAGGAGGGAGAGAGGGAGGAGGAGGAGGGAAATGTAGAAGAGATTTGGGTCCGCCATTGATGATGCTCGAGCTTGTTCGAGGAGAGAGAAGTAGCAACAAGTCAAGCGGGTGTTTTGGCACGCTAAAGTCACGTGGCGTTTAGATTCTTTCAGATGGGCTTTCGTTGTTGGGTTAAGATTTATGCTTCGGGTTGGATTGAATTTTTGTCTGAGTTTGTTCTGGGTCCATAACTTGAATGCGTAAATCTAGGCCCATCATGGATCTTTTCAGGCATGTGTTGCGATACAAGGAATATTGATGCCAATATCCATAATAATAAAAAAAGTGAAGATAATTTTTTTTATACAACATATTTTTTATGAATTATCTTTATGATAGAAAGAAAATTCTGATTATAAAATAAAATATTTATATTAGAGAGTTTTTGTTAAGTTTTTAAACTTTTAACCGATATTTATAATTTTATAATATAATCCATTGTAATTTACTTATTTTTATTTTATAAATTTCTTCAATTAACTCAAAATTGAAAATATAAATTTTGTTGAGATTTTAAAAAAAAAACTCACCCAAAAATAGTTAAGAGATCATATATATTTTTATCTTTTTTATTTTTCTTTTCATTTTCAAATTTTATTTATTTAAAATTAGTAAAAAAGAGAGTAGATGGACGATGTCAAGAAAAAAATAAAAAATAAAATAAAGTTGACGTGTTGCAATTCTGAGACACTAACGATGTGAATATTGTTAGCTCAAAAATTTAACGTAATTATATGATTAAGACATAAACCAAACGTACATGAATGTAATAACCTGATCCAAATGATATTTAAGGTAGTATTTAAGTTTTTTTTTTAAAACGGTTGGTGCATATAAGAAGGGACAATTGTTGTCCCTCTCTATTTTCTTTCTGTTCCTTTCCCCTTCTCATTGAGCTTTCTCCTTAATTTTCTCTTAATTCTCTCTTTCAAATCCTAAGCTAAAGCCTAGTAAAATTACCTTAGAAAGACCATAAACAAATAAATTTGCTTGGAGTTTAGCTAGATTGGAATTTGAAAAGCTTGGAGAGTAGGATTGAATCGGGGATTAGAGAACAAATTGTCAAAGGTAAGAAATTTCATCTTTTGATCTTTAAATTAAAATGTTTACATGTAGTTATTGATAATTTTAAAGTTAGATTGCATTGGATTTGTTGATTGAATAAAGAATTAAGTTAGATCGATGTTAAAATCTCGAGACCCATTTGAGAAAAAGTTGATTAAGTGATTCTAAGTGGTAAAATGATGTTTAATTGTCTTAGGTAAGTGGTTTATGAGATTGAATTAAAGTCGAATTAAGTGAATTTGATTAATTAAGAGGTTTAAGATGATGAATGGTGAAACATCCAAAAAATGGGTTTTGAATTAAAAAAAATATAGGAAAAATAGAGAGTTAAGTTATATAAATGCGATTAAATATTAATGAAATAGTTATTGAGTGAATTAGAATAGAATCAATGATTTAATTGAAAAATTGATTGTTTAAAGGTTTGAATTGAAATTGAGAAAAGATGGTATGTATGAAGTTTGGACTGCATTGGAAATTGATGATGGGATATTGTTAGGTAATTGTTTAGAATTGTTGGAGAGATTATCTAATTTAGTTAAAGTCATCATTTTGAGTCTTCCAATCAATTCCATTTGTATAGATAATTGTGTGTTCCTATTTCTAGAATAATTCATTTGTTTTGAATTATTCTTTAATATGTGATATTAATGGTTGTTCCATCATCATGTGTTATTAGATTATTCGAAGTGGACGACTTTATTGCAGCAACCTTGACTCCGTTTGATCCTTCATTTGTACTCGTGAATGGATATTATATAGAATATTGTGTTTTTAAATTTCTTTGATCATGTCGATCATACATCATTGGTTTAAGTATATTTTAATCATATTCTTTAGAACTTAGATTGGAACGAACCTTTGTATGTTTGAAATGATTTCATATCATTTTTAAATTTCTTTGATCATGTCGATCATACATCATTGGTTTAAGTACATTTTAATCATATTCTTTAGAACTTAGATTGGAATGAACCTTTGTATGTTTGAAATGATTTCATATAAAAAAATGATTGGATATGACTTAAAAGGGATTTGAATATTTGTTTGAACAAGTGTTTGTTTATGGTTTGATATGCAATTATGGATTTAAATGTTATCTTCCTTTAGATGGTTATTTTAATTATTCGTATAATATTTGTTAATGTTTATTTGATATTCAATTATATCATCAAATATGACTTGAACATGCATTGTTTTTTACGTACTATATTTGAATATGTATAAGTTTATATGTTTTTTGAAATGTTTTTGAGACTCGGAAAACCTAGCTATGGAGGGTGTAGTCTTTGAGCTTAATGATACGAGGCTCCAGCTAGCAGAAGAGGTAGAGTACTAGTATGTGTGTTGGTCAACATACGAAAACCTAGTCACAAGGAGCATGACATTTGGGTGTTTGCATCCAAAGATACGTTATATTCCGTGTGTTGGTCAACATACGAAAACTTAATCACAAAGAGCATGACATTTGGGTGTTTGCATCCAAAAATACGTTATATTCAACCTATGAGTAAATAAAAACCTATATATGTGGTTTGATTTGATTATATAGATATATCCACAAACATTTTGATGATTTGATATGGAATGGTCTTGAACTATTTAAGTTATGATATACAATTTGAATTTATGATATGCATTATTTTCAAGAAACTAACATTGCATCTTAAGTTGAATTTTTAAGTTCTCATCCTTAGTCCATTTCCCTCATTTAGATGTGTTATATAAACATTGCATCTTAAGTTGAATTTTTAAGTTATCATCCTTAGTCCGTTTTCCTCCTTTAGATGTGTTATATAATATATAGTCGTCGATTTGCTCTCCCTCCATTGTTTCAATTTTGCAGGATTTGTGATGGTGCCCTTTTAGCTTCCATTCGGCTACTTGTCTTGAAGTTGACACGTTTATCATGTGAATCATTTAATTGTAATCTCTTAGAACTTATGTTTGATTTTATTATATTCTTAGAATCTCTTAAGTTATAGCTTGTGAGTGTTGTATTATAAATCAATTATGGATATTAAATTGAGAAATGCAATATGATTTGCATTGAAATTATAAAGTAATGATTGTTAAGTTGGATTATGGTAAATTGGAATGATGTGTGATGTGATATAAACCGAGGATTTAAGTTTAGATATTTAAGGCTTGCTTGAGTCTAACCTAACTACGAGGGGCATAGCCTTTGAGCTCAATGATACGAGGCTCCAGCTAGTAGGAGAGATAGAGTCCTAGCTCGTGTGTTGACCAACATACGAAAACCTAGTCACGAGGAGCATGACCCTCGAGTGCTCGGATCCAATGATACATTATATTCATTCCACGAGTAAATAAAAACCTCTCTCTCTCTCTCTCTCTCTAGACACACACACACACACACACACACACATGTTTTGATGATTTGATGTGAATTGATTTTGAACCATTTAAATTATGATATAGGATTTGGATGTATAATATGCATTTGTTTTCTAGAAACTAGCATTTACTTGTAATCTATTAGAAACTCTTAGAACTTATGCTTGATTTTATTGTATTCTTAGAAACTCTGCAGTTATAGCTTATGGTTATTGTATTATAAAATTAATTATGGATATTGAATTGAGAAATGCAATATGATTTGTGTTAAAATTATAAAGTAATGATTGTTAAGTTGGATTATTGTAAATTGAAATGTTGTGTGATGTGTTATAAGTTAAGGATTTAAGTTTTGATATTCATGATTTGCTTGAGTTGAGATGGGCCTCATAGTTCATTCGATTCTTGCACCGATCATAGTCCACTCCCGAGGTCATGACAATTAAATATTTTAAAATAAAAAAAGAAAACCCGTACATCCATCAATTCATATAAATAATATAATAAAAATTATTAAAACATAAAAATATTCTCACTAAATATTTTTTTATTATTCTTTTTAAGTTTGTTGAATTGTACTCCACGGATACTCTTTTATCATTAAAAAAAATCATCAATTTTTTTAATCAATATAATTTCTTAATTTTACAAATCATTGACATAATTTTGAAACAATTAATACATCTCGCGGTTCATAATATTATCAAATTCAAAATGCTCACATTGATATCTTAAATGCAATATTTCGTATTTTGTAAAATCCGACAACAAAATTTTATTTATAAGTTTTCAAGCATCATCGAGATTCTTTTTAAGATCCATTCATAAACAAAAAATATATATGTACGATCGGGATTTTGTTTGTAGCAGGGGGAAATTACATGTGAGGAAAAAAAAAAACAGGAGACTCCTCCTCTTACTCCGGCGACAAAATTCCGCAATCTGTTTGCATGCTTATTTTGCTCTTCCGAAATACTATCAACTGGAATCCTTGTATTTTCCCAATCAAGGAAGGAGGGAGGGAGGGAGGGGGTGGACAACATGCAAACATAGCTGGATGTTAGATAACTTAAATTCATAAAAGAGGGAAAAAACGAACAAATGAAGCGATGGAAGGGAAATTATCCTATATACTAAAGCAAAATGGTTTTTCATCGTAGCAATGAACAGTGCGAGATCACCGTTCACTCGTTCGTTGCTACAATGTTTTTTTTAAATTTCTATTATTTTTTTGGCTAGACCCCCCAAACAATCCGTTTATCGTTCATTTGAACAAGAACGCTCGCCCTCCTTTTTAAAAAAAAGAACATTTAATTTTTTTAAAAAATTTCCACCCATTTACCGTTCACATAAACGATAAACGGCTTGCATCTTTTTTTTTTTTTTTCCTAAACATTGAATTTTTTTTTTAATTTCGTTTCTTAATAGTATTTGGTGTTAAAATTTTAAAGAACCAACAATTAATTGAGTGTTAAAATTTTAAAGAAACCAACAATTTATTTCCTTTATTATTTATTTTTAAAATTAAAAAATAAGAAATAGTTAAATACAAAATTTTTTATTAAAAAATTATAATTATTTTTTACTATAAAACAGATTATTAAATTGAAATAATTTTTTAAACGATTTTATATATTTTATCCAACCCGCAACATGAAGCAGGTAAAAAATCTAATATTATATACTAAAGAAAAACTATTTTTCACTTTAGCAACGAACTATATTACTTTGGCTTTTTTTAAAAAAAGTTTTCATTTTTTTCCAGCACCCGCTGGCCTTTCCCCCTCTTTTTTTTACCTGTTTATTGTTCATTTGAATGGTAAACGGCTTGCCCTCTTTTTTTTTTTTTTTAATTTCTATCCGTTTAGTATTCACATGAACGATGAAACTAGCTGACCTCCTTCTTTTTTTTCCTAAACATTGAATTTTTTTTTATTTTAATTTCTTAATAATATTAGGTGTTAAAATTTTAAAAGAACCAACAATTAATTGGGTGTTAAAATTTTAGAGAAATCAATAATTTATTTGCTTTATTATTTATTTCTAAAATTGAAAAACACAAATAAGAAATAGTTAAATATAAATTTTTTTCATTTAAAAATTATAATTATTTTTTATCATAAAACAAATTATTAAACTGAAATAATTTTTCTACATGATTTTATATATTTTATCCAATCAAGCAGTGTAGCACGGGTAAAAAATCTAGTTATCTCTAAATCTGGGGAGTGGGGACCACGTAAGAAACAAATCAGCATTTCCATTGGACTGCCAAGAGGTCAAAGACGACAGCAAAGGCCAGGATTTCATTAAACTAGTCTCACAATCCCGTATCAGTAATAACCCATCCAACGGTGAAATACTAATCAAGCATAATCCATCACGTGCATTAGCACGCTAACATCTATATCCTGACTCACACGCTATTAAAAATCAACCTGCATCCTCCAATCCAAAGAATGGAAGATCCAATAAGCAATAGACCATCTTGTTTTGCCCAGAAAAAGAAAACCCAAAGAGGGAAACTGATTTTCACGCACTAGAAATCACGCATTTCCATGCAATACAACAACTACTTCACAATATCGATGCAGTATAAATAAAATCACGACACGTGTCCATCACCTTCTTCCCCGCTCTCTCTGCCTTAATTTTCACGGTTCCCTCATTCAAATCAGCCGGCGTTGAAACACGTTACGTTAACTGAGTCGAGTTGGACTGGATTGTCGGTGAATTGCTCACCGAGTTATTGTTTCCAAAGTGGAGAAGGCAAAGAAGAAAGAGGCGTTAACACTGGCGGTAATGAGAGGGACCTTGTTGGCTAACCGTCGCGGGGTACAGAGATTCCGGCAACTCGCGATCACAGCCGCTAAATCCTCGAAGATCAAGCTTCTTCTCTTTTGTTGCATCGCTTTTACGCTACTCGTCGTTGCTACCCGAGCGTCCGATTATATGGGATGGACTAATCACAGCGATTCTCTTGATCAGTTCCCTCTTCCAGGGTGCGTATAAGTAGTAATAGTTATAGGCCTATCCTTCCCATATTTAGTAAGTTAAATAAAGTTTGTTTAACTATGAATAATTATAGTAGATTTTTTCAGATTTGGTAAAGAAATGATTTTAGTAATTTTTACTTATGGTTTATTAATAGTGAGTTAGGAAAATTAATTTGTTTACTCGGATTGATAAGGAAGGTTCTTGATTTGGCTTAAATGGCGTAGTATCAGTAATAAAGCTTTTAGTTTTACTATATAAGTAAGGAGGAATTGTATGTAACTGAACTGAATCCGTCATGAAAAAATCAACTTTAGGAGTTCAATGTTCAAACCTGCAGAGTTTGAGTTGGTCATTGCTCCAATAGAATACCAATTTCCCTTTAATTTTATGATATCTTTGCCATGTTTAACTGTCGTTGTTTTTGCCATATTTAAGTGTCGTTATTTGGTGTTTATGCAATTTCAAGTAATTTTGCAAAACTAGTGATAATTTAGGCATTAATAGATGAAGTAGAATTATTTGTTGTAAAAATGCATAATAATGTCTCAAGGAGTGAAGATATCTATCAGTAGATTTTTTCTCTGCTTTATTTTTTAGTCAGAAATTGGAATATGTTTGGAACTGCCTTAGCGGTATCTTTAATACTCCATGATTAAAAAAAGAAAGAAAGAAAGAAAAGATATCTTTAATATTCTGCACTATGGCCCAGCATCTTGGTTCTTATCTTTTTGTGATCAATCATATATTTTGTATACAGGAAAGGATATGCTATTGTAATGAATACATGGAGGAGATATGATCTGTTGAAGCAATCCATTTCTCATTATTCATCATGTGCAGGGCTCAAATCTATACATATTGTGTGGAGTGAGCCCAATCCTCCTTCAGATTCTCTTTCTAAATTTCTAAACCATGTCATAGAGTTGAAAACTAAAGGACTGAAGAAAATTGAATTGAGTTTTGATATCAACGAGAAAGACAGTTTGAACAATAGATTCAAAGAAATACCTGGATTGAAGACAGATGCTGTTTTTTCAATCGATGATGATGTTATATTTCCTTGCTCCTCAGTGGAGTTTGCTTTCAAGGTTTGGCAAAGTGCCCCAGATGCAATGGTGGGGTTTGTTCCTCGTGCCCATTGGGTTGATAAATCGGTATGGCTTCTTGAAAATCTTGCCATTTCATATTCTCTTTTGGCCATTACTTTCAAGTTTGCAGTCAATTCGTTAGGACAATTATATTTGGTTTTGATATTTTCCAAGCTCCATATATTTCTCAAGCTCAACATTGTAAGGAGGATTATTTTTGTCTCAGAACTGCATGCATTAACTCAAGTGTGATTTTTGCATGCCAAAATGTCTTCGTGGGTTATCTTGTGGCCAAAGCCATTTTCTTATTTATGGTGTCAAGATTACACACTGACCGTATTTACTTAATCTATTTCCAATGTTCTTTTATTGTCTTCTTCATGGACGCATATTAGAGGAAATAGCCATAAATGATGTAACGTTCATATATAGGTATGAAGGCAAGTTTGAAGAAGCATTGCCTGTTTCATAACTTGGTAGTCTTTGCCTTATTATAAACTGTGCATTTGTCCTTGAAATTACAACTGTAACCAATAGTTCAAGGGATTTATGAACTCTACCTAGAAATAATTGGTTGTTGAAGTGCCAACATGCAAATTGTAATTAGGCACAATTTCTTTCATTTGTAATTACATATATTCTTTAGCTTTTGTAACAATTTGGTATGATTGAGGATATAGGAATTTTCCTGAACCATTTCATTTTCTTAATCTGTGTGCAGCAGGGAAAAACGGATTACTATAAATATGGTGGATGGTGGTCTGTTTGGTGGACAGGCACATATAGTATGGTACTCTCAAAGGCAGCTTTTTTCCACAAGAAGTATCTTAGGCTGTACTCAAATGAGATGCCAGCGTCAATCAAAGAATTTGTGACTAAGAATAGGTTCTTTGTTACTTAGTTTTTCACTTAGCTGCTGTTTCTGTTATTTGTTAATGCCTAACTTTTCTTCTTATTCTTGGAATGGATTCACCAGAAATTGTGAAGATATTGCGATGTCATTTCTTGTTGCAAATGCAACTGTTGCTCCCCCTATTTGGGTGAAAGGTAAATGATCTATCCCTTCAGATTCCAAGATTGCTAATATTACTGGTACTTTGTTTGTTAATCTAAAAGTGGTGCTATGTCCTGAAATGCTCTGGAATGCTAACACTATGTGTTTTTTTATAAAATCATGTGCAACCAATGAGCCAAAACAGCCATGTCTTGAACTATTTTAGTGGTTAAATTTTGAAAACTTCAACTTCACTGCAAAAAAATGGGATGATAGAAAGATTGATTCTTTGCGGCCATTAGAAACTTGTGTTCTATTAGCTCTTGCAAGGGTAAATTCACAGGTGTCCCCGGTCAGCTTGCCTTATTCTCACATCTGATAGTCTATTTTTTTGCTTCCTTGTCTTTGTATTTCTATCATGTCTTTGCTTGTTGCTGTTTCAGAGAAATGATATTTCAATTTTTCTTAGCCAGTCAAGGAGGTGAAAGATGATGTCATCCAACTGTTACTGTTTCAGTTAAAAAGAAAGCAATAATCTTCATTCATTATATGCTAAAACCATCAGCAACAGACCTGGTTGTGAATATTTATACACTAATGTTTGAGTTCATCAACTAATCAATAGACTAAAACTAAGTAAAGATGATGAACTAAAAACCCCTGCTCTGTCTCTTGGCTGTTAGAAGATTTTGTGCTAGATAGTGTGCCAGTGGCCAGACTGTGGAGATTGTGCACCATTGTGCATCAACAACTCAAGGAAGAATAGGGCCTGATCTCTTATTATACTGTGTCATGCTAGTTGCTACAGTGAATTTGATAGCACGATGTAGGAGAATGATGCAAACTGTGCGTGACCCTTCCAGGTTTTAATCACTGAAATAGACATTAGTTGGTTTCTCTTTGTTGAGCCTTAGACTCAAGGCTGACTGATGCAAGTACCTTACTATAAAAATCACGTCTTCTGGTATAACATGATTTTTTAATATGTTACCATGAACGAGCCATGCCTGCTATGCTCATCATACCTCTGATGAATTTTCAGTTTCAAATTGTAAATTTTTAATGAAAATACTGAAATTTGTTGTGGTCTGGGATGGTTGAGTAATTAAGCTTTAGCTCCGGTGCCACTATCCTGCTGGAGTCGTGCCTTTTTGGCAGATCCACTGGAAACTTTAGGAGCTTTATGGGTGGGATGTAAGAAATAGAAGCATGATATTGGGGCTTTTTTTTGCCCACTCTGTGAACACCATTGTTTACAGCCCAAACCCCAAATAAGCACTACTGCTTTGTTTTGATAACTATTATTTATTAACAGGCAGCACATCTTGGTGAATCCTAGAACTGTGCACCAGTTATGATCTCGATGTTTGTTCAAGATGAACATTCAGACAGATTGTGATGTAAAATCGACCTTTTCAATATTTCTGAACCTTTTCTATTATTGGAATCTGCAGCAAGCGGAAAAGAAATTTCCCCCACTTTTGTCCTTAAAAGTGCTTCTTTAAATTGCTTTGAAGATTTTAAATGATTACTTTTTTCTTATTTTTTCACCTCATTTGCTTGTGACTTGGAAATATTTCAGTTTCTTCTTTTGCTGTTGAAATTTTAGGTAAGATATTTGAGATTGGTTCGACTGGAATTAGTACCATGGGAGGGCACAGTGAAAAAAGAACGAGATGCGTCAATAGATTTGTTGCTGAGTTTGGGCGAATGCCCCTGGTACCCACCACTGTTAAGGCTGTTGACAGCCGCAATGCCTGGTTTTGGTGATGCTTGAGTTTCCACCATATTTCAATTGAAATATTTCCACTTTTTGGGGCAACCCTTCCAGTGATTCCCATTCTTTTTGTCTCGATTTGTGTAATAATGCTCTATGTTCTACCTTGTTGGTCTCTTCCGAGATAGAAAGCCAAATCAGCATGATCGCCCCAGAATGTTTACTTGTAATCTTACCATGTAACGTAACTACTAGGCAGTTGCCGTTTGAGATGGTTACCCTTTCGTCTTCTTATGCCTTAATTTTGGTTTAGAATGGGCCACCATTACTGTAATTCTGACTTTCCTTGGCTGAATTATAGATAAGATTTTGATGGCGTTTTTTGTTATTGCATACTTGTCATGGAGCAGGGGATTAAACAATTGCATCTTTTTTACTTTCTGTACATACATTTTTAACCGGGGCAAACAACTGGATAGTAATGCGAGCTTAATTTTAAACATGCACTCAACGCCCTACAAGGTAGAGATGCTTTTCTGGCGTCCACAGAAACTGAAATAACAAAAAGGAATAAACTAATGAATTTTTTGTCTAGGTTGGCAGAATTGTCCTGGTTGATGAGCAGATGTTTTTGGGGCATGCTGGAGGTTTATGATGCATGCGAAGAGACCTATTGACAAACAAAGGATCATGCATCCAAGCAATTTTGAAACTGCACCGACTCTCCTAACTTGCAAGGAAATGTAGTTATCATTGGTGGCTATAGGAGACGTACTCTTAGTACGCTAATTTAACCCATGGTTAGTTGCACCTGAGGAAGGAAAGGAAAACAAATTTTGTCAGAAAATAATATAGAAGCAGCGTAAAAATGAATTCCAGTACTTGCTTCTTTACAATCTCTCCCTGATCTAGGGCGAGCACTTCGCCGGACCCTAATTTGCTTCCTATTTTTTCATCAAGGTGTACATCATACACTAGTGAACACAAGTAACACAACATTAACCCAATAGCTTGTCTGGGTATGCTGCTTCAACACCAAGTCCTCTTTCAAACCAAACGTTATTGAATTTTTATTTTTCCTAGCCTATGTTCTGTTTATTGTAGTCTGATCAAAGTCAGATTACTCGCAACAAGTTTGCACATGATCCCTGGGTTTTGTGGTCGGAGACTTGTGAATCCAATCTGATGCCGGCTCCAGATTTCGTGCCACAGACCAAGTGCTGCTAGTTTCCACCACCACTGCCATTTTTATATTGAATTGGAGTGCACTAATGTTTCTCAATACAATCAGCTTGGCAGGATTTCGATGACTAGTTAAACAGATCATGCATGCTGGGTATCTGAATACTTCTATGGTCTTTTTTATTTGTTTTGAGGACTTTCATGACCATGGAAGCTGATTAGCGGTATGGTCCAATTAAACTGGAAACGAAGCGCACGGTTCACTAGTCAACTTGACATCTTTAATGCCGCCGATCGCTTTCTTGCTTTTTCATCATCCTATCAAACCAAGGCAGCTGCAGAGTTGATATCTTCATAAGTGATATTTTGCAGTCAAATACCGCTCACCTACCACTCTACTTGGTTGAATTCACATGGATAAGCTTTATCCATCTGCGGAGCAACTCTTAGTACCACGTTACCGAAGTTAGCGTCAATAGGGAGGATTCTGCGTTCAGATCCAGTCATTTCATAGGAACAACTGTAAACATTTGCATTTTCTTCTTCTTGTAGATCGATGAAAAGAAGTTTAAGGCAGCCATGAGGCTAGCTTAGTCTTTGCGAAAACTATTACAGTGAACTGAGAATTATTTACGACATTTGGGATTTCCATCCATCCAAATGGATCCGGTGATGTAAGAACAGGATATCAATCTTTGCAAACACCTCTAGCTCTAGCAGCTGATTCAACTAACTTTAAGATTCAAATCAAATGCTGGTGTTAATTGAAGATCATATTTCATATTTGCTTATCCAGTTTCCTTAACTCACGACGTATAATCCAAGATCATAATGTCTTCCCAGAAGAGATTTGCATATCAATGCACTACCTTTTTGCATAATTTCTTCGGCATACATTACAAGGCTAAGAACAGCTTCCTACAGAAGAGAAAAAAGTTATATTATAGCTAAAATCAGGATTCTTTTCCTGGTAAGTGTCCTATACTAAGACTATAATAGCATGCTCTTTTAATATACCATCTCTGTTCAAATTACAAAGTCTTAATTGTTGTTATCATTGAGGAGCATCAAGAGGAAAACATGTCTCTTCGCCTCCAGTGCTCCAAAGGAAAGTAGCATATTTGGAAGCATGCTCTGTGTTATTTGGTTCAATTGACAATGCTTGCAGATATCTCTCTTCTGCACTCCACAAGTCCTTCCTTACCCTCCACAAGAAATCTGCATAGTGACCGAATGCCTCTGCATGTGATGGTCCTACCATTATAGCACGCTTGAAGCATTCCTCTGCCCTGTTAAGTTCCCAGAGAATTGAGAAAGATAAGGAAACAGAATCAGAAATCACATTATTGTGACAATATACACTACCGGTAAAGAAGCTATCTCTAGTCTAATTGGAGGAGAAACCTTTCCAAAAATCTTTGGAATCACCAACCTCAATGGAAGATGAATTGCATAAGATTCATCATGATTACATAACTCGGTCAAGGAGTTATGATAGGGAAGGTCTCCATTCCTTTACTTATCGAAGGAGAGAACCCAGGACTCATTTCCTTTGAGGAATCAAATGGTTAAGGCAGCTAAATAAAACACTTCAAAGATTTCGCCATAACTTCAGCACCTTCGCCATATCTCATCTTACCATGTGATATGCATATAAACCGATCTTATGTTGTTATGCAAGCTAACATTGCATTCTACTGATAACTAAAAAAAAGAGAAAGGAAAGGACTTGCAAAAACACTAAAATAGATTAAATTAGAGGATAGGAATCTGGATCACCTGTCGTAGTCATGACGAACTGTGCAGAGGAACTGAGCATAATTAGAAAGCAGAAGAGGGTTCTTCGGTTCCTCAGCGATAGCCATCTGGTAAAGAAGATCGGTTCTGTAATACTCAACGTAATCATCCGGTTCAAGCTCCACAGTTACACGTGAAACGAACTGTTTCTTAGTCTCGTGATCAAGAACCTCATATCCTGATTCCACTTGCATTCTTGAAGCTTCCTCTACCATTGCGTTCCACAATACCGTCTCTTCTTCTGAAGTCGTTTCTTGCTTTCCAGGCAAAGAAGCCTCAGCTGTCTCTTCAGGAACAAGGTTGGGATACTGAATCAAAGGCGATATTCTCCCAAAATGCCAGTCGCCCCCTTCACTCCCACCAATGCTTCGATCAACTTTCCCTGCACCGCCGTTGTTATTTCCTACAGCAGGATCAGCATTTGACTGTCCTTGATCCATTTCCTCTGGAGAAGAAGTGATAGTCTCTTGTATAGTCTCTTGGCCGATTCTTGGTGGTAGAGTCGCAGCAATACCAATGTTGCCGACCATTGAGTGTACAGTGAAATTGGCTAAAAGGAGCATCACATAAACCATGAGAGTTGGCGTCCGCGAAAAGACTTGTTGAAAGAGCCACACAAATGAAGCATTCAGTTCTGCTTGAACTTTATCCAGTATCCTCCGTAAATCTTCACCTTGACGATTCTCCCTTATATGTAAAGCATGGCTCTGAAGCTCTAGAATTATCAACACCATGGAAGAAAAAGCCCTCTTGACAGAGCAGTATGCAGAATTCCCGACAACTGCAAAACCCTTTTGCCATTTTAACTTCCTCTTAATCATCCTTAGTGACAAAGGAATATCAACGCTATTTGCTCTCAGTTCAATGCTCATCCTTGCAACCTCGCTTCTCTCTGGCCATTCTGGTGGCTCTGGTTGAATTCCAAGCAAATTAGGCTCCAGAAACTCGATCTTCGAAGGCAAAAACAACTCAAAACTATCCATGTTTTTGCTGTTTTCATCGTCATTACTTTTAGAAATATTAAAACTGTCTGATACTGCATAAGCAGTGTCGTTGTAATCATTTTCGTCATCATTCACAACATCAAAATTCCTTGCCAAATATTCAATCTCTTCGCTGTAAAACTCATCAAGACTGTCACTGCAAGATCTTTTTAAACCAGGACTTCTGAGATTTATACAAGAACCAAAAAGAATTGATGGATGGGGTGACCGACAAGCCAAAGCCTGATTGCTTCCACCACCAAAATAAGATCTTGCAAAAACAGGTCTTTTACAAGTAGATGATAAATGGGGAACTATGAGATGCAAACTTTGCAAACTCTCCAGTCCCATTAATTATTAGAGACTTAAATTTCGCTAATTCAATAAAAGAGATGACTAAAACAAATTAGAGAGATTCTCTTACAGAAGAGAAAAAGGAAAGCAAACAGAAAAAAAAGCAAGAGAGAGAGAGAGACAAGACAGGCACATGGATAATCAAGTCAAAAGTTCCCTGTTGCCTGTGAAAAATCTTGCCTTTCTATAAAAAAAATCAAAGGCACTCTCATAGGCCGTAGCCAGAGAAAGTCTAGAAGGTCCTGTAGCTTTTAATTCAATCCAACCTGAGAACAAGGCCACAAAGCTACCGATTAGTGTCAAAAAGAAAACAACAAAGAAAATCTCTTTTTTCATGACATTGCTTCCACTTTCAACCCTTTCAAATCTACATAATTGAAAAACTATGTAAACATGTATAAACAAAAGTAATGGAGTTTCAATTAAAAAAAAAATACACACACACCGAGCTTACCAAATTCTTTATGCGAATTAAAGATTGATCATTCTAGCATGAACTTTCCAGGAATGATTTTTATTTTTCTTGCAATTGCAGTCCGAGAGAGACCTAGCTAGTGCTACAAGTGATGGTGCCTGTCACGTAGTTGTATTTATTATTTCTTTTCTTATACATTATTATTATTATTTCTATTTATCTCTTGGAAAAAATCAAGACTTTTCAGTATCTCTCTATTGGCTGTTACAGGTGAAGATTTTGCGGGGTTTTGGTAACTTGCAGGAACAAGACACGTATCCAAGTTGTATGTTACACGTTGACGCTTTTTTATTTCTCGTGAGTTGTGCTTTAACTTTATTGGCTTGTTACATGGCTACAGCACACGTAGGAGATTCGAGACTGTTGCACGTGGTCTCTTCCTATACCGAGTTAAGTGCCCTAGACAGAGGGGATTTCAACAACATCTGCCTCTGGATCCTCTCCTTGACAGTGCCAAAGTACCAAGAAAGCTTCGCGGGCGGTTAGACACACGTGGCGAACAATGGACGGGTTGCAACTTTAATGGCCCAGTGATTTCGTAGTTATGGGCTTTGAAACTATGTAAGAAAACATGATGCTAGAATCGGTATGGGCCTGACTTTTAAAAGTCAAAAAGGCCCATTAAATGCGAACAGCTGTTGCCAAACCACCTAAACTGTATCCGATTGTTCGTACGATATATGAAAGGAGAAATTTCCAAATGTGTTGCAAAATGATTATTCCCATCGATGTGTTTTGTGATGGAATCAGATTATCCTAGCGAAGTTTTAGTTCGTTTAAATGTTTTTCCTCTTGCTAGGGAACAAACTGCAGAGTATCACATCAGCATAGTTCCTTCATATAGCAAGTGAACTTTACTACTAGATGACATGCCTTTAAAAAGGTGATGTTCTACGTTTATACACTACAAAACACACAAAAGAAATCCAAACAGAATTTGTTGATGTTGAGCGTCACGTTTTGCTTCCAATTCCTGCTGTTGTGTGCCTTCATCTGCATGGATATGAAGTGAAGAACCAATGGTGAGAAATGAATCTATAGAAACTAGAAAACTAGTTACTTATAGGCATACAGCTAAAGTTCTTACTTTTTGAGATATGAACAGTCTATAATTTAGTGCAAGAGTATGCAATTCAATTTGTCTGGAAAAAACTAAACAAAATGTCATTTTGTAGGCTGCTGCGCTCTGACAAGCTAACAAATCAAACTTTGACTTGCATTCATTTGAAATAAACAATACACCAAACAGGAATTGGGTGCCAATCAAAGGATCATTAGTAGTTGCTCTTACCCCCAAGCTAATCCGAAGGCACATTGGCTTCGGATTCGCGAAAAATTTCAACTTTCAGCACGAATTTCTTTTTGTTGATTAGCTCAAAGACACATACATCTCCCTTCTTCAGATTATTTTCCTTGGAAAATTCATACCATCCCTTTGAGATATGCAGATACCGACATTGGTTTCTGTTGATTTGTATAGGCCACTCTCTTCCATCGGAAACTTGAAGTTTAATACACCGAGGAGCATCAATCATATGTCTTTGAGCAAATTCAAGTGGTACGTACTACGTCAAACAAGAAAAAGTTATAATTTATGACTAGAAAATTCGTAAATTTCATGAGCATATTCTATATAAAGGCTTACCAGAAAATGGTTATAGAAAGTATATCGCTGCAACATAACCATGAAAGAAGGATTTTTAGGCTTGAACATTCTGGCAGCATGAATTGCCCTCTTGCTTTTTTCCGATGCCCTTGCAAATCCACGAGGGACAAATTCTATATTTTCGCTTTCCGGCAACAACTCGTTTTCACCTGCATTTTTATTGGAAAAGAGACATCACAGAGCATAATATATCAAACAAAGAAGATTGGAAAAAACAAAACAACAGAAAGAGCTTACCGAGTTCAGATTTTGTTTTACTTTTATTGGCTTTGGTTTCTCCATGGGGGCTAGAAATTCTATGTTTTTTCAACAACTTCCCTCTCCTTGATTCACTAGTACCATCTATACGAGTCATCTCAAGATGCTCTGTCTTTAAAGGTTTCTCTGATGATGGACTGTGCCCTTTGCTTGACATTCTTTTTCTAGAATTCTCATCAAAAACTCTACTTTTCACAGCACGACAATAGTGGGTATCCAAGCTTTCAACAGAGCCTTCATCTTTCATTTCATCTTCATCATGGAATGAGCATTTTTCAGCATGATTAATCTCCTCACCTCTAGTTGGTCGCATACGTGGATACTGAATTTCACAAGCAGTCATATCAAATACGAGAACACTGAAATTGGAGCAACCTCTATATCGAAAGACTATGAGGTAACCAGAACCAATAGAATTGTGCTCTACAAACTTTTGCCAGCCCTCGTCAAACCAAATGTTGTTGTGCTCTTTTGTTAATCCTACTTGCCATTCATGACCATTGGGTAAAACGACTTTAGCAATATCAGAAAGCTTTTCCCCAAATTTCTCTACAAACTTCCTTGGAATCCTCTGCATGTAATTTTTATTAAATTAGACAACGTGTTAAACTGCGAATTATAAATAGACCAAAAGTGCTTCGAAGATTACAGCTCTCGTTTTTAACATTTGCATAGAACAAATTTTATAATAAAACAAATATCATTAGAATTTTATAATAAATACAAAGCAAAAATACCATATCAAACTAAAGCATTGCACTTGACACTTGATACATATAACCTTCCATCCTTTGTAAATTACATCGATTACTTTGACATCATTGAAATCCAAAGCTCTGAAGTCATAATCCTTTTTTTCCAGTTAGAGACAAAGCTTTATCAAAATCCTGATCAGCTTGCTAAGCAGTTTACTTTTCCACTTCAATAACAACAACTTCTTCGATCCAAGTAGAGTAATTTTAAGCAGACATGATGAAATAGTGTCTGGGCTTGTAAGTTTTAACCTAAAGGCTTTGATTAGGCTAAGGACCAATAGGCTTAGCGTCATTATGTTGCTTACTAACTAACATGACAGGCTAGGTCCGCTTTTAAGGGAAAAATCATTTATGATTATAAAGGGTTGGATTAATAAGTACTTTCTGAAGGACGGGACACAATTTAACAAAGATTCACTGCTGTTGCTTCCAATTGAACTTTCATGTAGAGAACCAACTTTCAAAACATGCAAATGAACGCCAAATGGACATGCAATTACAACGAAATCCTTGTTTTCTTCCCTTACAAAGGGGAAAAAAAATGGACATGCAAAGCACAAATAATGGCATTGACTAGCTGCAGAATCAAAATGAACCAGATCACTTACTAATAGTACTATAATCTTTATATATCAATGAATCCGAATCCACAATCTATTCCTACATGCATGCAGACAAAAGTGAAATAAACGTTTAGTAATTACCAGCTTCTTGGCTATCAGTGTGCTAGGAAAGATAATCTTGAAGAAATGGCATAATTGGCTGTCTGGTTGAGAATGTGACCGCTGGAGACGGCTCCGGCTGGGACCACCTTCCTTCCGAGAAGACATTGAAGTAGAATAGACAGCTTGCTATCTTGAGAAATTGCCAGTAATGTTGTAAGAAACCCCTTTACTTATACTGGCACGGAAGGCTACCATACGTGTTTGTGGAATGAGTATTTGACGATACAAGTGGCACGCAATAAATTTTATAATACTCAATAAGTAATCAGTCATATTTTATGTATCAAGAAATAATTAGTGATATTTCATGTATCAAAAAATAACTAGTAATAAATACAGTAATTATTCTATGAGTCCACTTTGAAGAGAAAGATAAACATAAAAAAGAGAAAAATTATATCCGTATCTACAAAAAGTGATAATAAGATTTTGACGTTCGTTTTTTTTATTTTCTCTCTTCTTTTTTTTAATCTATCTCTCTCTTTAAACTTTTTTTCTTTTTGTATCTATCTCTCTCTTTAAAGTTGACTCATAATTAATTACTCCTTGAGTATTATAAATTTTTTTATATATAGTAGTTATTTCATAGATTCATTTTATGTCTATTTACGCATGCAATTATTGTCCTTTTATATTATGCAAAATTACAATATAAACCCAATATGTAATATTAACCATTAATTTCTTATTAATTGATTGAACGGGTGTTTAAACTATTAAAAAAATTATTTATATAAAAACTTGGATTTAATACTATTTGTTTAAATGATTAAAATTTATTCTACTTAAGCTAATGTTTGTGGACTTTAAATATTTCTCTTTAATCAGGTGGGTAATGGTACTATTGGTTGCTTTTTTAGACGGATTTAGGACATTTATGGATTAAGGATTTGAGTGGCATTGTACGAGGCTTTCTATGAGACAGTCATTAAGGGAACGCGGACGTGGGGAGACTATTTTAAAATTATGTTATGATTTCTTGATTTGTTTTAATACACGTTGCAACAGTACCACCAAGACAAAAAAACCTCTAGCAGAGACATACATAAGATGAATCAATTTATGTTAAAAGACCGAATAGAAATTAAAAAAAAAATGCGAAGGCATACTATTGAATGAAATTGTATGCATTGAAATCTAACAGGCCATTCATTGGAAAAACAACTACTCAAAATGAAAATTGGACAGCATTCAACTAAAAATATCAAAAAAAAAAATTCAGAAATTAAAAAGCCTGAAAATACGCCAGCTATTTGGAATGCAGATCACTCATTCTACCACATAATGGTACAACTTGAAACCAACGACTGAGCGACTGCTGCAACATGATGCCAGATCTGGAAAAACAGACGAAGGCACATTTATAAAGAACATCATCAAGGTTTCAGCTAAATTGAAACAACAAACAAAGGAAGAAATGGTCACTACGACGAGATTTTAAAGATAGCAAATATAGAAGCGCAAAAATAAAAATTTCAAACAAATTCAAAAGGAAAATATTGTTAAGAAAATAATTTCTGATTTTCGATTAAAAAATCAATTTCGTTGATTATCTTTTGAATATTAGTGAGTACAGATTTGTGAGAGTAATAATTTTTATTGAGTTTGATTTTCCATAAATTACTTTTTACAAAATTATTAAAAATGTGAGGTATAAATTAAAAATAAAATAAAATAATTCTGATTTAAGTAAAAATATGACAATTAATTTGATAACAAATTTTTAATTGAAGTCCAAAATAACTTCTAAGCAAAAATATTTATGATTTTGTTTAAATTAAAAAAATAAAAAACAACTTAAATCAAATTGTGAAAATTATACCAAACAAATCTTACGATCACAGAAGTTACATATACCAGCAACCAGACTCTTGCTAACGATGCTCAATACATTAAGCAGGTAGGAAAAAAGAAAAACGAACTTACATTTCCTTGACGCGGATTGTAAACTACCATTGGCTGGCTTCCATGAACAGGTATTGGGGTTCGATCCCTGAATCAAAAGAAATTAGTAATAATTTGAAATTTTTGAAAAAAAAAAAAAACGTAACAGATACGGTTCAGAAATTTTAACTGCAACAATTTTTGCTTTTCAGCTTCAAGCTTCTGCTTTTCGGCTTCAAGCTTCTGCTTCTTCTTTGCAGCTTTCTTCTCCTTCAAAGCATCTAACCTCTTTGTTTCAAGCAAAACATAGTTATCCAAGAATTTTTTTATGCCTGTGTACATATTGGCCTTGTTTGAAACATGTACAGCAGAGAATGAATGGCCTATCCTCTTGTTCAAAGCATTCCTTACAAGAGAAGAACATTTCATTTATAAACTCACTGCAACCATCACAGAATTTTCTTCCACTCTCAATTATGTATAGAATAGTCATTACTTCCATAAAATCAAGTTTTCCACTTCCATTTTTGTTTAGCTCTTCGAAGAAGCTGCGACGTGCCATTTCTATGTGACCCTCATTCTTCATAAATGACAAGAACTCGTGAAGGCTTACTTGGCCATCCCCGTCCTGATCCATGCTCTTAAAAAATAGTTGTCCTAAATCTTTATTCTCCCTAGTGGCAGTTTCATAATAGGCTTTCGCAATTTTGTGCAACACGTCCATTCCTGATAGGAAAAAATATGGGAAAAAAATTGTTCTTTCGAAACAAAGAAGCAAGACTTCTATCATCCCTATATATCATCATAATCTGCTGCTTCGTCTTCCTCAACATTTAATACAATTAACTCTCCCTGTTCTGTTCTTTTCGATAAAGTATATCATAACTCTTCGTTTACATCAAAGTTTCGTTGAATGGGTTTTTTTTTTTTTCAATGTCTCGGGTCCAACTCTCTCCATCTTCCAATGATGCAACTCCACAATGTGTGTTCGTGTTAAATTTAGAATCTGAGATAAAGTGTGTCAAGGGGACAAAATGATCATTGAAGAGAGGAATCAAGATGCTACCACATATACATATACATATAATGAGGAAAATGGAGGACAAACTTTGTAGAGGTTTAGATTTAATCCAAATAAGCTTAGGGTTTGATGCCATTTGTTTGAGAAAAATAATATCAAAGCTAAATTAATGTGACAATGCGTTTAATCATCAACATCTATCTATCGAACAACTTGGTAGGAAGGAGCTTCGATCTGATCCAATTACAATTTCTATAAACTGCCATATGTTTTGGATAATTAAAGCGGCTTACGGTTAGTTTGCAAACGGATGCAGTGAATTGGATGCAACGGAATGGTGTAATGATGGTGCATTGGATTAGAAAATTGTAATCAATGGAATCTAAGGTGGGTCCAGTCACCCGATGGTGAAGGGAAGGTCGACGGCAGCATATTTTTGGGAGAGAAGGAGGTTTTCTTTCTCTGGAGAGTTTTTTTAATTAGGTTCGAATTTTTGTTAATTGAGTTAGAAAGAGAGTGATTCACGTATAGTTCATTATAAAATAGTTAACAGGCTATATAGATTTTATGTGGAATCTTACGTGATAAAATTAATCACATTGTCATATTTCATCTTACATCATCTCAGTTGAATTTAAAATTTTAAACGAAAAATATCCAAAATGCTAAAATGATTATCGAAAATTTAATTTATATATTTTTTATTCTTTTTTAAAAAAAATGTCAAAATGATTGAAATATATAAAGTTCCTAATTTTATGATATAATAAGTTATTATAAAATTATAAAATAAGACGTGCATGTGTGTTAACCAGTTTAATATGTGCTATGTAAGTACTACTGCTAACGTGAGACAACTAAAAGGCTCACCTGCAAGCACCACGAATTAAGGTTAGTGTCCTATTCGGGACAAGCTTTTTTCCATACAGCTCAAGCGTCAACGAAAATAACACATGAATATGGCCAAAAAAGGAGTTGCATGGTCATATGCGTAAATATGATGTGCATTTTCCCCTTTAATAACTTTTCCAGGTCAAGCAAGCACAAACTTTTACAATCTTTCTTCACAACACATTCTGATTTCTGCATATATATTTATATATATCTACCACTTCATTTATGTATATTGCACTGAATCTCATTCGTTAGGAAAATAAAGTTGATATAGGCATGATAATTAAATATTTATTTCACATTCGCAACTCGCAAGAGTTCAATTGGAGAAACTGGTGGTGGTTGCTGTGTACGGATTCACATATTATCGACACCAGACTTGATTAAACAGTTTATTGCAGAAGAAGAAAAAAGCAAACAAATAGTCTTTTGAATTTTTTCTTTACAAAAAAAATAATAAAAAAATCTGAATTTGGTTTGATTCTAAAATGATCGAAAGATTTGATATCTCCTTAATTATCTTCTCTTCTAAATGTACGGCCCAATCGCTTTGAGAAAAAGATGCAAAGAAGGCCCATTAACCTAAAACAGCCCAATACCCAACAAAATATAGACTACAAAAGATTGGGCATAAAATAGCATAGTTAATATCTCAATGATAAGATAATTATTCAATTTATTTTTATATTTTTAATTGAATTTAAAAAAAATTGAAGGTTTTTAATTTTTTTTTCAATATTTTTAAATTAAACCATTGAAATATTTTTCATAAGTCAAAATATTCTTACAAATCAATCAAATAAAAAGCTTTTATGTACAATTTGTGTGATTGATTCTAATAATTTATCTCAAATTTTTTGTCAAAAAGATAAATTAGATACTTAGTATATATTAAATATACAATTAATTAAATTAAAAATATAAAATCATGCTGAAAATTTATCTTATATAATAAAGACATATTAAAACTCCAAATATTAATATAACAGGTTCCGTGCGTGACCCTCAGCTTGTTTCCACCATATCCAATAAGGAAGAAGCTCGTTGTTTCTCTTATGTTCCAGGGGATTGAGTAATCCAATTGTTTGTGGGGTGCAAACGGATGCTGCATGGGAAATTCTACAGTGGACCTTTTTTACTTCTCCTTGTTGTAGATGGATAGGCTAGAAATGGCGACTTAACTATAGTTACCTATGGACAAAAGACATTTAATGCTCCGAGTGATAATGGGTCTGGTAAACTTTAAATTGATTTCTTGAGCTGTTTTACGAACCATAGAGATCGGTTAGGCAATGACTGGTACTCATCTATATGAAAATTACAGGCCTAACCTTGTTGGACCTAAAATATGTTGACATGCTATGTCAACTGGAGTATTTCTAATAATTTCCCGATTTCTGTAACTTTTATTAATGCCAAAAGTTAGCAGGCAAATAGTTGCAATAATGAAATTAGACTGCAAGAAAATTTAAGCTTCATTTGGGCTTTCTGTTGTGGTTGTTGCTAATTATACAGTAGTAATTTCGGTGAGATTGCTCTTGAAAAAAAAATTGAGGCTTAATGGGTTGTGAGAATGCCTTGGAAAATTTTTAGATTGTTTTCGGCAAATTCATTACCATAACCATAAAAGATAGAGTAAATTATAAATTAATCCCTCTTATTTCAAAAAAAAAAAATCAATTAGTTGATTTAGTTTCAAAAAATAATTATTTAATATTTTTAATCAATATTAATCATGATTAATTTAATATTTTTTTTATTTTATAAAATGTTTCTCATCTATGTTTTCATATTTTCACTTTTTAAAATTTTTTATGTCTTAAAAAATAAAAAAATAAAAAAATTAATTAGTTTTTAAAATAAAAAATTAATTAATTTGTTTTTTCCTAATTTATAATTTGCTCATTAAAGATATTAGGCCACGCAATTTTTAGAGAGAGAGAGAGAGAGGCCACACAATTACATAAACGACAAGAACCATTCCCAATCTTTACAGACCCACTCAGGCTTGAACTACAAAAGAAACAAGGTCTCTCTTTGGATGGTTGTTATACCTAAAATTTGGTTAGGGTTGGCAAGCTCAACAAATTATGGAAGCCAGAGAAATAAAAAATTGTTAGGCCTGTGATCCAGGCCCCAACATTAGATCCACTCTCAATTGAGAGAGATCTTTGAACTAATAGAAAAGATTAACATCTTTTGATGAGCAGTTTATGGGCTAACACAAAATATAAACACAAAAGACAACAGCCCCGATGATCAGAAAAAATAAAATTGACGGCTAGCAAAAAAAAAAACAGCAAAGAATTAGTGCTAATGAGACTTAATCACAATAGTTACAAAGAAACACAAAGTCTTGCAAAATTGTATGAAATGTTGTAAAAGAAAGTGAAGCATTATAAAGTAGCGCAAAAAAAAGTACAAGTAAAGGTAAAACATTATAAAGATAATGAAAGAGCTAAAAGCATATAAACACAAACTACTTGGAAAGAAAAACACACAAACAAGTTTAAGGACACTTGTAATTTACAAAATAATTCTCAAAAAATTATCTCGAGTCTCGAGTTTCAACACTTTAAAAACTTGATAGGTTATGATTTGTAGATAGTAATCAAGTAGACAACAATCAAGTAAGTTAATAGATTTGTCCTTCCATCATGCAACTACAGTTTTTGTGAGTATTCTCCATCACCAATAAATTTGAGTTCCTTGTGAATTTTATGTACTTTAATATTGAAAATCCTATTTTATCAGTTTATATACTATTTAATTTCAAAGTAAGTAGTAAAAATGTGTATTTTGATTGCAAATGAGCTTTAGGAAGTTTATATTATAAACTTGAAATCATCATTGTGAATAATCAACCTTGCAACTTGTAACCCAACTACTCGGGACTGATTGCAAATTTCACCCAAGGTTTGCAAATTGATTTTAACTTGTTTATTTTATTTTTTATGTTAAGGACAAAAAAAGAAAAAGAAATATACATCTAGAACTAGCAGTGAATTAATCCATAGAAATTCAAGTTTGGAAGTTGGATCGCTTTGCAAAACTACATTTCATTCTTTTATTGCAAAAGTCCTTAATAATTATGGCGAATATTAAAAAAACTCGTTGAACAATAGCATAAACAATCAAACCCGAAATAAAACTTGTTACCATTAGTATAAAAGTCGTCGAAAGCATTGTAATCGAGATACAATCATTATCCTTTAATGTGTTAGAAACATAAATTGTCCATTTCAATTATCGATCGACAATAATCTATAAAGTTTAATGATATTTTTTGCCTCGGAACTACTAAGGTTGGGGCACATTAAGATATGTATTATCAATTTTTTCACTAAAATATCATGCTTTAAGATAGTATTGTCGTCGTGTTTCATTTAACCATTAGTATGGATAAAAAACACCATTAAAAAAATTATACTTTGGTATTTTTTATTTAAATTTTTTTATGCATGCTGATGAAAATTCAATTCACTTTCAAGAATAATTTTAAAGTGAAAAAATAAATATTTTTTTTTATTTTTGAACAATAAAAATTCAATAAATTATGAAAAATAAAAATACTATAGTATTATCTCAAAAATTTGGGAGCTTTAAGAAAGTTATAAGAATTTACGTATATATTTTTAATGTTGTTCTCACAATATTTACATGTTTGATCTCTAAAATTAACTTATTTTAAAGTTGGTCCGGTGTTATGGTTAAGGGTGAGCAAACGGTTAAACGGTTCGATTTTCGGTTAACCGAATTAAAAAAAAAATCGAAACCGAACCAAATTAAATTCGATTAATTCGGTTTGTAATCGAATTATTTCGGTTCGGTATCGAAATAATTCGATTATAACCAAACTTTTATTCCCGTGAACGATTTTTATTTTTGTGGTATCGAAACTAATTTACTATTAAAAAAATGTAATAGTACATCCTAAAATGGTTTGCGTGTCATTTGTCTTATTACTTGTGTTTTATGTGAGAGCAACTTCTTATGCAACTCTTCTAGAGTTCTAGTGCGAGAATTCCTACCGTGTCAATGTTCATTACATCCGCATCAAAATACAATTAAAAAGTACAATCGGTTACCAAAAAGAACATTGAAACAAAATACGAGGTTTGTTTTCAATCTTATCCAAGACACTTACTCGGACATGTCAAATACTACCGCTTGCATCCTTTCCTTCATGCTTTCTTTAATTTCATTCTCTTCTTCCGTCACCCACCTTAATATCCCGAAACAACCAACAATGCTTAGCTCGTAATTTAATCAACCCTCACTAATTCGTTTAAGCTTTTTTGTGTCATATACGTACAACCGAGATATATAGATGTACCTTTCTCTTATAAAATTGGCATTTGCAAATCAAAGAGAGGCGAGTTAATGTGGATTGTCAAAATGACAGGAGTTTTAATGGCCATGGGATGTTGATTCATATCACGGTAGTCATCTCGCTCTTAGTAGTCTTCCTAGGACTTCTATGCATGGTCTAATGGCATTCAACTAATTTTCCGAATTGTTCTAGGAACGGATCTTACAAGATCTGCATTATTTTTAACAAACTTAGTCTACGAAGTTGTCAAAATTGATTCTTTTCTCGCCTTATTTTTCTTTATATCATGTGTTTGCAAGCCCTCTCGTCGATGCTCTCCGGTGAACCGACTTGAATGTGTAGTTCGAACCAAATGTGATCTAGTTTTATTGATTCAATGTGAGCGACTAAGTAATTTCTTTAAACAAGTCTTCATTAAAAGAGGTAAAAACTTTCGGATCCTTCATCGGGATATCTACGACACTTGGTTCCGTCTAGCCTATCAATTAAGAGTATTTAAAAGCGACGAAACGAGTATAAAAATGACTTTGTATCTCTATATAAAAATTTAAAAGCGATCGAGTATGTTTGTTGTATATCAATTTAAAGCGAAAGTAAAATTAAACTTTAAGAACTTTACTCCTTTATGTGCAACTCGGTTCTCGACTCATGTTATCAAGCATGTGTGCATACACCAATACACAAAACCCGTAAAAAACGATTAAAAATGATAGAAAAATGATTGGAAATAAGGTAGAAGAAACATAACAAGGTCCTTACTCTCAATTCACAAATGCATTATAATATACTTACTTGATATCCGAGCTAAGAAGCAATTTCAATTATGTTTTTTTGTGTGATTCTAGGCGGAATAGTTCCTTTTGTTGGAGGAGTTGAGATGGTATTTCTTTAGAAAATAAAGACAATGATGCATTAATATATGATGTTACCCATTGAATCAAACATAAACAAATTGCATTCAAAATATAAGTTACGAATTTGAAGTAGGAACATGGAAAAATGATCTCGCTTACATTCATTGAAACTAATTCTCTTTTGTGTTACCTTCACAACAAAGATGTTACATGCAGTACCCTCCTCTATATTTTTGCCGATTCTGTCGTATCAAGGAACAACACATCGGTGAATCCTTTGGCCTTTGCTTGATCGATTGCCTTGTAATTCTAAAGTAGAAGTGAATAAGAAGAGCAATGTTATTCTCATTTAATTATATTAAAAAATTTATTTATTGATAAAAATATAATTATTGAATAGATATTTTTATGCATTAAATAAGTGAATTTCTTGCCCCTAATCATAATTTGTTAGGTGGGTAAGCATGTGTAGATAGCAAAAGCAATGATGGATGCATAGCCTATCGTATGAGGAGTTATATTTATGACGGAATTGTGTTTCTATCAAAGTAGACAAAGAACCGAAAGAAGCAATGCTTACCGACGAATAGTTAGTAATAGATTTGATGCCACCAGTTCCCTCGGGAATTGCTCGATAGACATTATCTTCAACAACGAAGTTTAGGGGACCCTGCGTTTGTGCAAAAACAACACTAACCCTTATTATAAGCCCACTTACAAAATCAAAACGAAGGAAGACTCGGAAGAGGATTGGAGTCCGGAGCTCGCAGGATCGGAAGTCCGGAACTCTAGAAGAGGACTCGGACTCATTGTCACTAAAGTCGAGAGTGAAGAACAAGAGAAGAAGAGTGAGACTTTGAGAGTGCGAGATCCGTGAAAGGTCGAGAGTGAGAGTCCCGACTCGTGACTCGTGAGACAGATGAGTCGGTGAGAGGCCGAGAGTCGTGACTCGTGAGACGAGTGAGACAATGAGAGGCCGAGAGTCCGAGACTTGAGTTTACGGTGCGAGAGACGAGAATGAGAGTGACTAAGTTTACTCGTTGTCGGCTTGCTCGGAATGTTGGGCGTTGGCCGTCGCATGACTTCGTCGGCGTCGAAAGGAAAGGAAAGTCGAAAGAAGCGAGTTAAGGGAGACAGGGAGAGAGAGTTACCGAGTTAGGGTCGGGGTTAGAATTAAGAATAATAAAAAAAAATGATTTTCGATTCAAACCGTTTCTTTAAAAAAAATCAAACCGAATCGAAATTATTTCGGTTTTTTCGGTTCCGTTATAATTATACATTTTTTAATCTATACCCAAACCAAATTTCATAATTTGATTCGGTTTGATTCGATTTTTGGTTAACCGAACGGTTTGCTCACCCCTAGTTACGGTGTTATGCATTTAACCATACAAAATATTTTGAGTATCACATTAATACTAATATGATAAATTTTGAGCTTGGAATATGATTTTTTTAGAGTTCCCAATAAATTTTGAACTTGGATCATTCCAAGTTGTTGTTGTTGTTATTATTATTGTTATTGTTATTTTTTTATTAATATTTTTAATGTTTAAGAAAAATTTAAAAACATTTCTTGACCTAAAAAGTTTTTTAAGTTATTTTTTACAGTAGATTGAATTTTTATTAGCATATATAAAAATTTTCAATTCAAAATATTAAAAAATAATTAAAAATGATAAAATTTATCAATAATATGATAGTTTAAGAATAAAATTAATCAAATTAATAATATAAATTTCAATTTACCACAGTTCTAATAGTTTAGGAGAAAAAAATGCCATTAAACCTAATTTACATGTGCATTTTTATTTTGGTCACCCATATATGCAGTCAAATCGTATCCAAGTCGGCAAAAAAATAATAAAAAAATACCGGTTCTGTGCAGGAAGGAATGAGCACTACAAGTCCATGTGACATGTATATGGGCTTTCAATGACAGCATGGGTTGTCGGCGTTGCCCTTTTCATTCCAAATTCAAGGTCCGGGAACCAATGATCTTGCAATTGCTGTTTATATCTGTTCAACTTGGACTCGGTATAATAAAATATTTAGCACTCGGTAAATGATATGGATAGATTGACTGGACAGGCTCCTCAATTAATTTGACTACTTAATCATAATTCTTAACATGAACACAGCAAACTTTCCTAGTATTTTTTAATCCTGCGCATAATTCATTGAACGACTATAGACACAAGCGAGGAGCTCAAATTCTTGTGTTAGCCGCTGCCTCGTCAACTTGAAAAGGTTAAAGCGTGAAATGGTCCAAATGAAAAGGATATGTAGGATTATTTTTTTCCCCTTTTCAAGTTACTGTAGTCATACATACAACAGGGATGACAATATTATTTATATGTATTGATTAAATGAATTTGTTTTATACAATATTATTTTGGATTCGAGATTAATAACTGTATATAAAATTCATAACGAGTGCATAAGATTAAGAATGACGTCTGTCAAATACTTTATATATATATATATATATATATATAGTCTTAATTTGAGAAAATTAACAAAAATAAAAATAAAACAATAACTGCTGAACTTTTTTTAAAAGCAATGCAAACAATTAGACCTCTAATGTAAATTTTACAATTGTTAAAAGACCATTCAAATACCGCGGTTGTTGTTACATGTTCCACTAAATTCTTGCATTTTCCTCGTTGTTCCATACAAGATCAAATAACTGGCTTTTTATATAGATAGATACTATGTTTTTATAGGTTAACAAAAGGAGACTGGACATAGCTGATGAGGTTTCACACCTTTACTCGAAGATCATGATTTTAGGCCCTAGAAACATGGATCAATCTAAGGCAATCATTTTTACAAGAAGAATACTATCAAAATTTTATAATATCCAATACATTGATGGTACAGATAATTAAAAAAAGAAACAATACAATGAATGACAGTATAATCCTACGCGAAAAAGACTTAACTTAGACTCAACTGAGTCGCCGGTCGATTCCACCCCCAACTCCTTCACAGCTTCCTCCGACTTCGTCTATCTACCCCATTCGGTTGTTCATGACTCCAAGACTCTCCTACAAAAGTCTTAGCAGCATCCAAACTCGGAAAATAAGTAGGTTCAAGGAACAACTGAGTCAACGAGTCACAGCTCTCCGAACTCACCAAAACCCCATTCCCTTTGGCCTCCAAACTCCCCATAACCACAATCAACACCTGTTTATACGCATAAAAGAACCTCTTCAACGAACCCTCAATTGCCTGCAAAGCCTGAAGCAAGTTAACTTTCTCAAACGCCTTTTTTTCACTGTACAACCTCATGGCTGCTTCTTGTAACCTGGGCCCACCTTTTGGGTCCGCTTCAACACCTAAAATCTCCGGTACCTTGTGCTTCAATTCCTTGCACGATTTCGTAATCTCCACTAATTCTCTCGATCTGAAACAAAACGGAGACGTTTCGTCTAATGATCGCATTTGTAACTGATTTTTCAGTCTCAAAAAATCATCTGGATCCATTAGTAGATGCAAGTCTTCGATTTCTGCCATAAGTTTCCAGATTTTCTCGATTAAATAACAATCGTTTGATGCTTTTGCAAATTCTTCGCTTTCAATTCTTTCTAGTACGCGCTGGATTATTTGTTTTGCCACGTGGATCCAAGACTCTAAGATTTGATGCGTGGTATACACTGACTGGTTTTCCTGGTTCTTTATGTGATCGTAAGGACTCTTTTTGAGGGAGTGGATTTCGTTCGGTCTGCAAACGGCGTCATATTCTAGGTTTGGCTTGCCGTTCAGGTTCGGCTCCCCGAGACCTAGTGTGTATGGGCACCGTCTCATCTCGCACTCGATGGAGTACAGGATTTTCTGTGCTACGTCTTCAGATGTATGCCATGTCGCGAGCCTAGGCAACAGACTTGCCTCGCTGGTTTTATTGACCACTGTAGTCTCACCGGGAACTTTCCATATCTCTGCATAACTTCCATCTCTGACCAGAACACCGTTCGATGAGCTCAAATCCACGATCGGAGATGTGCCTCGAGATGTGCTATCTTCTGCCTCATCTTCGATGATGATCGCGATCAACTCAATCTGAGAGGTGGCGAGTGACTCGATCCTCCGTGTCCATTCTCTCCGGTTCGCGTACGGTCTTGCATCTGATAAAACCGTTGAAACGAACCGGAAAGTGATTTCTAGAGCTTGTAATGCTGGCTTTAATATAGACTCTGTTTTCCAATTCGAAAATTCTTTGCTGTTCCATAGCTTCCGTAGCTCTGGGAGGCGGAGGTAGTGCTCGTAAGCAGAACAAGCTGGGTCGGGAGCGGGAATCGGAGAGATATTTGAGACGCCACGAAACGGTATGTTTGGGATTGAGATGTGGAGCTTGTTGGAGAGTTTCGGGGATTTGTTTGGGAGATCGGAGGATACCATCTTTGCTTTCCAATCCAAATCAACCATGCTTTTTTTTTTTTTTTTTTTTTTTGAGAAGTGGAAATTAAACGGAATTCGTTATGTGTTTTCTTTTGCTTTTTGAGTTTTGTTTGGGGTGGTGAGAGCAGCTGATGGGGTTTATATATAGGGAGGAGTTTGCCTGTTTGAGGGGTAAAGGCGTGTGGAAAGTAAAAGGAAGGTTGAGAATTTGAATTTTTCAGTAGTGGAAATTAGAATTTTAATTGGATTGATTAAAAAAATTGAGAGGGAAAAGAAAAATTGGAGTTGGCGAAATTCGTGTTTGAGAGAGAGAGAGAGAGAGAGAGAGAGAGAGGATATGAAGCTTATCCATTTGCACCTAACGCGGAAGGTGTATTGGGTGCGTACGAAGAAGGAAACTACGTCTTGTTGGATTATTCTAGTAAACGGGTGTAGGAAGTGGAACGGTTCCATTGTTGGACCGTGGTCCTTGGTGGTTCTTTTGTTCAATTAAGTCCGCCTTGGATTCTAATCACCATCTAATGCAGGTCTTATTTTTCTCTTACCGTGTATCTCCAGTCACGTGGTGCCACATGTGCAGTTGATTATATGATTTTGAAATTTTAAGGTGCTAGAAGCTCCCTCAGGAATTAGACAAAATGAATAAGTGCTTATTTAGAAGAACAATTATCCGCCACTCTTTAATACGTTCCCTTCACAAACGTGTCATATTCAAACACATTTTTTTTCCTTCACGTATTCGCATGTTATTGAATTCAATCCAACATGTGATTAAAGACAAAGCTATTTTGAAAATATTTTGAGTTCCGTGTAATTGTTTTTGGAATGATGTGTTTAATTTAGTTCTAAATTAAAAGAGAGTGAAATGACCAACAGTCAAATAATTACTGCCTTCTTTCCACAAATAGAGTCTTCTTCTTAAAAAAAAATGTTCTAAAACGTATGTCTTTTATAAAAAAAAAAAATTGGAGAATTGAGTATGAAATTTTACTATTTTATCTTTCTTTAAAAATTAAATTCTCATTTTTTTATTCAATTCCATTTAATTTTAAACGAACAAAAAATATGTGAGTGGATATAGAAATTTATTGCATTTTTTTAATTCGTGTGAACGTTCAATAAGACTCTCTTAATGGGATGGAGGAAATAACTCTTTTAATGTGTGTTTCATAACATGGCTTGAAATGTTTTTTCATAGTATTTTTTAATTATAAAATTTGAATGTGTTTTTATGAAGTATTTTAATATCCTCATGTCAAAATCACTAATTTTTTTTTTCAAGAACATCAATTCTATGTCTTTTCAATATAAAATCCTTAAAATGTAATGCCAAATAGGTTTTTTTTTTTTATCTTTTCGAAAGCTTTAAGAAAATAAGATAAATTGAGGGATGAAACGATTTTTATCTACCAAAAAAAAATGATAGTTAGGTATCAACACAATGGGGACTCAAGGAAACTTTGTTAGTCGGTGTGAATTTTAGGATTCGTGCTATTTTGTCTTCTCTTTCCTGTTGTTGTTTTTTTAAAAAAATGTAGACTATTATATTTACGGTTTACGGTTGGATTTGTTTAAATGTTGTATAGGAAATCTATCCAACCTCTTTAAGGAAAATGGAATTAACATTTATGGAGGGTAATTAACATGAATATCTTTCTAACTATTACCAATCACTAAAACATACACATGCCCTGCAGTTACCGTTTTCATTGACCTTAATTTCCACACCGTTCAACTTCAAATAATAATCGTTGCCAGGTTGAGACCGAGTATAGTTTGACCATCATGGTCTATAAGTACAGTAGTGCTGTTGTCGGTTTCCTAGGAATCAGTGACTAAAATTTTCCCGTGTTTTCAGGGGAAATGACTGCACAGCCGACCCTTTAACTGATATACTTCGGCCTTCTATCGCGTGGAAGGTATGGCACATGGTCTAAAGACCACAACGGGAGCAGGAATTTCAAAGCTATTGCGGCTCATCGAGTGAATTGAAGCCAATTTGTCTTCCAGCTTTTAAGACAGCATAAACACGACAATCTGTTTCTTGGGTGCTTTCTGATTGTTTTAGACATGAATAACATTGAGCCAATTTTCTTCTCTGGCAGGAAACATATTTCTTAACTGGAGTTAAATAAAGTTAAGTGTGCCCATCATGTTAGTATCAAATCTAGGATTCGATCTTTATCATCTGTGTATCCTTATCCAAATTATGAGCCCATCACGCAAGACCTAGCCAGCTCAAACGGAAGGGAAAAGAAATATGTCCTCGTTTGGTGGTGTTTATTAATTTTTTTAAAAAAAAAAAAAAAATCGGTAAGCAATCCCATTCAAGTGACCGAATTAAAATCCAATCCTAATAGCTGGCAAAGAAAAAAAGAAAAGAAAAGAAGAATTTTAAGGGATTTCATGTGGGGCAGAATTAGGATTTTAAAATACGACGTTACTGTGAAATATAAATATTTTCTTTTTCTGTAATATGTTGGGATACAAGTGAAAATAAGATAAACAAATAATAGTAAATAAGTAGCAATATTTTTTTGGAAGCATGGGAGGATGTAGATTAGTTTTTATGAAATAAATTCAAAAATAGATTCACAAATTTTAGAACTTTTAGGATTGAAATAAAAACATTGTCACGCATTGGGGGTGCCACAACCCCTTTACTTACAAAATGGTTCCACCTTACGTATGATTGTCTCCAGCTTTTCATGTAAATCCTCTCTCTCTCTCTTTTATTTTTTATCCATTCATGTGACAGATGAAGTTTTGAAGGATTATAACGTTTATAAAGTTTGGAAACTGCAAGTCCATAAATATTTGTTAACAAAAGACTAATACAGCTTAAAGAAGTATTCAAATAATAGAAAATTTCTAACGAAAATAAGTAATTAGGCGTGAAAAGCTAGTTAATTCGTAGTTAACAAAAGCTTCTTTACAAACATAAAAATTACGAATTTATAAGGATATCACAAAAGTATAAATCAACGGGTTACAGTAACTATCACTATCATCATAGGAAGTCAATAATGAATGGCTAATCATTTTTAAGCAACAAGTCAACATACTATACCATCTCTAATTCAATAAAAATGCCTCGAAATTCAATATGTAAAACCGAATAAATTTCAATGTGATAAAAAAATTTTAAATTCGGATATTTGAATTATTGCATAAAATATCATCAGCATTAGACGTGCCAATAAAATTATATAATGCTTCATCAGTATGTAATTTGATCCAAAGCGGTTTCCACCGACCAATAAAAGCTTTATGTTTTATACAAATTAGTTTAGTAAAAGCATATATTATCTGTTCTTCTTTTTTTTTAACAAAAAATAAAAAGAAAAAAACCAACGCCAATGGTTGCTTATCTTGGAATTTAAGCTTTTTGAATCAGGAGAGGATGAGTTCCAGTTACCAAATTATGTCAACCAATAATTGCTTAGAGCGTTTTAAATAACATCATATTTCAAGTTAATTACAAAGTATAAAATTATACCAAAAACATCAACTATATAGACACTCCAAGATCCCATTGTGTGAGTGATATGTAAAAATATACTCCGTTTTAGTGATAGCAAAATCTAACAAACATCCTATAAATACAAGAAGCGTTGCTCAACTATTATATATAACCAACATTACTCAAACATTAAAGATTGGATTACCTTACTAAAAAAGTTGAGGTAATTGAACAAGACCAACAACACCAAATAGCACACAAGAACTAAACATCACTCTTTTTTTTCAGACACGTATCAGTATTTTAAAGATATTTCAGAGCAAACCTTCTTAATTATAAAATATAGGGAAAACAGTTTTCCATGTCATTGTAGGTTCAAATCACAAGCACTAGTGTGATTAGTGGTTGACAAGTCTCTTGTTTTATGGATCCAATCCTATGCAACTTTCTAGTCTTTAAAGAAAGTGCACCCTTATTCAATTGGATTTTGATCTCTCTTTAGAACAGGCTTAATTGGATTGAATCACCGTGTTTACCGCCTTTAAAAAATGCAGGCAAATGCCACCGCTCATTAATTATTCCTCGCGTCAAGCACCTGATTGCTGAATCTAAAGCATACTCGGAGTGGTGGCTTCCAGCTCGGCACCGCTTGTTGGTTGCCAACTAACCACGCGGGCAAGCATATTTGAATATGATCCCTCCGCCCAACACGTGGCATTACAATCACGTGCATCACCCACCATTATCTACTCCCCACCTGTCGGATTTATGTGGACAAATCAGGTCACATTAGCGGTGCCGAACATGGCAGTTCCAGACACGTGGCTTCTAGAGGGGGAATTAGGTTTAATGATACGGTAACAGATTAACATAGAATTGTTTTTGATCACTAGTGAAGTATTTAATGAAACCAATCACATACGAATTAATTTTTCAAAATTGATACCACGAGGGTGTCTTTATCGCAATTCAACAATACAGATAATTTTTATGTCATTTAACCGTTGGAACCGTGAAGGATTTGATTGATAAAAAGTTTTATAATATTCAAAAAAATAATTAATAATATAAGAGATAGAAAGATAAAAAAATAGAAATATGAGATGGAGAATTCTTTAGAAAATGAGTTTAGGTGGATTATATATATATATATATATATATATATATATTTGTCTATCTCTCTTCAAAATAAAACAATAAAATAAACTAATAAAATAAATATTAATAGCTATTTTCTTAAGTATTTTAAAATCATTCTTTGATTGACTTCCACGTACAGCACAACTAGAGAAGTAGTATGATGTTTATGGGCTGCGGAATATGCAATTACGGAAAGAAAAGGAAAGGAACAGAAAATATTTAATATGGTTTTTTAAAAAAATTGGTGAACTTGTTTATTTTATGTTATCTGATCATGGGCATGCTTTTTCTGACTTTGAAGCGAGTCAATGGTGAGCTAGCATCTAGGTTTCCTAGCAAGGAAGCATGTTTTGGGGCCTATAGTGGGGCATTATGGCTATTGGTTGATTCATCTAGTATTTTTATTTTTATTTTTTATAACCTTTTGCTGAACCTTTTTTCGCTTGTCCAAAGCCAGATAAGGAAAAGGAAAGCATGGAAGAATTTTGATTTTCGAAAATGCTGCTTCGAGGATGTTGCAAGATGTGGCATAAGAGAAGTGACCTGTTTTGCCCACAATATAGAGATTTCGAGCGTCTAACTAGTGGAATCATTTCACAATACTTCAAAGAAGCCGCGTATTCATATCCATAAGTGAATCTATAGGCTTTGATTGGTCGTTGCACTTTTGGCTTTGATCAAGATGATACAGTTACTTTATCTCCATCCAAATTTTAAAAAGAATAATTAAAAAAAATTCTTCTTGCATACTATAGTCCCAATCAAGCGTGAAAAATAGAAAACCAAAATGTGTGTGTGGCTCAAGTAAACCATCAAAACTCCAACTCCAACCAAAGTACAGCTTACTGTTATCTAAACTTACTCAACTGTTATTCCTTGAGCATCCTGTTCCTGGTTCGATAATTTGATTGGTATGAAGTATGAGGAAGTGGGGATCTCAATTTTGACCCATTCTTGGCATATATAAAAAAAGTGAAGATGATTTCAGTCATTTAACTCTTTTGATTAGTATGAGTAGACGGTAATCTAACTCGAATTAAGAATAGAATGAAAGAAACACTTATTTCTAGCAGATCAAAAAGACTATTTCTATTCTATATTTCAGTCCTCCCCTAGAAATAGTAGCAATGAAAATTATAATTTGCAATTAATCTGATTGATAAGTTGTAAATCTGAACCACATTAATTAGATCTGGTTTTTTTTTTTTTTTTTTTACGTGATAGAACACTTGAGAGAATCAAAGTATTCAAAATCTAATTGTTGAAATAATTAAACACCAAATAAAAGAAAAACTATCGGTTTGTCAAGTAAATTCACTTGTCTAGCATATAAGTTATCCAAAACACAATTGAAGAATCGCAAATATCCTCTCCTTTGCTTCTCGAGTTCTTCTTCCGTGGATTCTTTTCTTGTCTGACCATAATTTGAAATTATCCTCAGTATTTTTATTGACCGTTTCTTGTCTAATGACTTTTTGAACCATCCTTATCTAAGTCCATCCACCTCACAAGATTCCTTGTAACCCCCAACAAAATTGAAAGAAAAATATATAAAACAAGAAAGGAGAAATAACATTGTCGGTCTTTGCGAATTAATTACTTTTTTTCTGATAATAAATTGATTACTTTCATAATCACGGAGCAAAAGCGTCTTAGACAAACAACTCAAAATAAATAAAGCCTGCCTCCTTGTTCTTACATGATCGTACTGCGGATAGACACTACATTCGACTATCAAGACCATTTGCCTCCTTATTGCAACTCAAAAGTCATCAATTACTCATAAAAGCTTGCATGTGAAACAAGATTTTAAGACAGGATAGGTCATGTCGGGAAAGCTAATTTACTCATGCTTATCACCCTGATTACAAGATGTATATCGCTTGTGAACTTTCTTTTCTTAATTTTATAGTTAACATCACTAGTAAGAACAAGGAGGCTCCACTGACAGGATAGTTAACTTTCCTTTCTCTCAAACATTTGTTGTTTTATCTTTTGAACAAACGGTTTTCGTATTGAGAATGAGATTAATCACAAGACGAAGGATATAAAGCTACAGCCCTACATGTAAATGGCTGTACAGTCGATGACCCTCAAATTTTGCGATGGAATGTAAGCATAGATAGAATTCTCGATGTGGCTCCACTGTCAGGAATTAGCCACTTCTTTTGACAAACAAAGTTGGTAGATTCTCAAAAAAGGAAAAACCTTAAGGAGATAGTCGGCCACCTAAGTCTGCAAATCTGCAACAGTCTAAAGGTCCTCGAGGCAACGGTTGCATCATTTAGTAATTGGTTAAATCGATCACATGCAGCAGCGCAATAGGCCAAGATACTGATCTTTAAGTTAGGCAAGTATCAGTCCAAGTCCACTTCAAATGTTGAAGTTTTGACTTTGAAATTCGAAAGAGATGGAAATAATCCCCTCAGAGTCACAAAAGGCCCCCCCCCCCCAACCACTATAAGTTCTTGGTAAATCCCCTTAGAAAATGGACATGAGTTGCAAATCAAAGACCTCACCAGTTAGGGATAATAGAACCTAGGTGCAACGCTACCATAGCTACCTCTTTAAACAATAAAATCCATGAAAATAAACTTGGTTAGGCTTGAAATTTGATTTTTAGCCATGCTCTTGCTTGTGAACTGTGGCCCATTGAATTGCCAGAGTCCAAATCCAACATGGCAATAAATGAACTAAAACTTCTTTTTCAACCATCAGAGAAATAGCGAGTTCCATACGCATACTAACGCTTCAGCCATGTACTCCACGTTCTGATGGGCACCATCGTGAACTAACTCGCGTCTTACAGGATCAAATCATATCTTGTTCCCATTTTCAGTCAAATAGAAATCCTTTGCAGATCAATTTAGGCGTCCGGGACTTTAATGATCATCGCTATTTTTTAAGCGTTATCGCTTTCCTTGATAAAAGCAGGGCTAAGCATTAGCTAAAAATGGAATGAATGAATAAATTAAACGCAAATGGCACCTTACTCGTTAAAAGACGAACTTCAACATTATCAGGAAAAAGAGGTTATTGCCGTTCGATCATCCCAAAGAACTTAGAGGAGTGTCAAGAGAGCAATCCTTCTTAGTTAATAAATCCACACACGACTTCCTTGACGGAAGACGTGATTCCAAGAAACAAGCTATTGGAAGAAACGTCATTTAAAGAAAAATTATGAATGTCATTGATAAATCAATTTCAGAATAATATACTTTAAATTTTTGAAACTTTATTTAAAGAAAAACATCAGCTTAACTAATCAATTTATTGGACATTAATATAAATCATATCTTAAAACTTTATCAAACAATTTAAAATTTTGAATTTAAATAATTTTTTAATATGATATCATAACCGACGAGTTTGAATCTCAAATAATTAATGATAAAATAGTAGTGGGTCTATATAAATTTCATAATTGAACATAAGATAATGACGAATTTATAAAAAAATTTATTTTAGAAAAGCTTTCACTTAAAAAGATATGTTGGAGAGTACTATAAATCATATCTTCAAACTTTATCCAACAATTTAAGGTTTTTTTTTTAAAAAAAAATAGTTCTTTTACATATGTAAGTTGTTATTCTGCATTCTCAACTCTAAAATCTTTCTCAAAAAATAAGGTTTTTCTTCATATTTATAAACAAGTATCTAATCATTTTGCGATCGATATGAGATAACTCAATAATATATTTTTTTACCTATCAAGTTCTAAATTAGCTATTTTTTACCAATTTATATGATGTTGATATATAAAAAATTATTTAACTTAAACTTTTATATTAATGTTAATTAGATGCTATTGGATCTTTTCGATCTCAAAAAAATTTACAAAGACAAAGATGAAAACGAAATTTCAAGAGTTTAAAATGATCACTTTGGAAGAAAGGGTGGGTGATGGATGTTCCAAGCACCAATGGTGTAAGTCAACTGTATAAAGTTGTGTGATTGAGGGAGGATGGAAAATGCATACGGAATAGCCCTAAGAAAGTACAGTTTCTTTCTATATCCTGCAGGAACGTAAAAGAGCAATTGAAGATTTTAGTCCACTGCAATAAGAAGATAAATTTGGGATGAAACTTTAGTGACGATCAAAAAACCGTTGTTAATTTTAAAAATTTACAACAATTTTAAGCGATTTAACGACGGTTCAAAAAATGATTACTAAAATTCCTATTTGCAACCATTTTTTTACAACGGTCTAACCAAACCGTCGCTAACTTCACGAGTTTAATTTTTTCCCTACATGCAGACCATTTTTGCGACGGTCTATGAATCGTCACTAAACCGTTGCTAAGGCTACAAAACCTACAAAAAAATTAAAGATGATTAGCAACGGTTTTTTTAATAAAAACCCATTTGCAAAAATAATTCGGTTTAGCGATGGTCACGGGACCATCACTAAACCATTTCTAAAAAAAAAAAAAAAGATTAGCAACGGTTTTTTAATAAAAAACCGTTGTAAAAAAATTCGGTTTAGGGACGGTCTACGGTTTCTAAAATCGAAGAATTGAAAAAAAAAATTTACGATTAGCAACGATTTTTTAATAAAAAACCATTGCAAAATAACTTGGTGTAGCGACTGTCTATAAACCTTTGCTAAAAATAATAATAGAAAAACAAATAATATTAAAACCAATTTTTGCAACAGCTTTTTTCAAAAATAAACATTGCAAAAAAATCAATTTAGCGACGGTCTATAGACCGTCGATAAT